CTAGTTATTACTGTATTGTACATTATTTAATCAATCTTAGCACAAATCTTCGAATTAAACACTTCAAGTTATTGTAACAACAAACAATAAAAATGGCTGGCAAAAGTTTTAGCTAAGTAAAGGACCGATTACATGAAGCAATTTCAGCCGGGGCTAAGTTTCAGCCCAGGCCCGTTATAGTATCCTATCAAAATACTGTACGCGATTACATGAGAACAATTCTATGTACTGTGCCAGATGCATCGCTAGATCCGTAACTGGTATCTATCACGTTGTAGTTAGGACGGATTATAGCAAGCTCATTTATTTAAGTCAATGACCCTTTTTCCTCTTGGTTCCTTCTGAGTCAATTTCTTGAAAAATTGACTGCACAGCATGTTTAGGAACTTATGGGTACACTTGTGTTTAATTGAAGTTTATGCCAAACGGAACTATATCCTTTTAAGCAAACATGTGCGTCAACGAACTCCCTAATTTATCTCTCAAGGTCATCATAGTTGTAGTCAATAATTCGCGTTTTTTGCTAAAAACTGACCATTAGCCTTTTAATTGTAGCAATGCTAAATGCTTAACATACTGTATTTCATGAAGTTTTCTTAAAAACATACGAATTTCTTCATACTTAAATCCTTTATAGAAATTAAAGATAAGTCTTTCTAGGGAAAATTCTTCCTGCAACTTGTCTGAATCAGTGAACTCAATAACAAATTGGTAAAAATGAAATAAAAGAATTCTGAATCCAGAATCGAATCGTTTGACGCCATTTTGAATTTGATATTTTGGCGGCATATTGTACATTGTCCTTCCGCCGTGGAGTTTTGCTTATTGCCGTGGAGTTTTGTTTATTGCCGTGGAGTTTTGTTTATTGCCGTGGAGTTTTGTTTATTGCCGTGGAGTTTTGTTTATTGCCGTGGAGTTTTGTTTATTGCCGCGACACTTGTGGGCCACCGTAATTTTCAGTATACTCAGACAAAACAGTTTTATAAATCAATATTTTGTTTGGCTTTCGAAGTCTGCAATGGCTTCATCTTGAAAATTCTTCTTCGTGAATGATGCATTCTGGATCGGATCGATATCGACAAATATTTTTGTGGATGATGAACAATGATTAGCAAACCGTTCATTAGGAAAATAGAAACTTTGTACAATAGACAGAGAACATTCTCCTTCGGTTAAACACGGATAACGGGATAAGATCAAAATCTCGACAAAATATTGTCTATTCGAATATCTCATTTAATTCATTGCTTTAACATGACTAGAAAAATAAGATTACATGAGAATGATGACATGGCTATCATAGATGATGTCCTCCGATTGTCTGCTTTAATTTCTGTCCAATATTTTACTCAATGATTTTACCCAATGATAAATCCTGGATACTGACACTTGCATCAGATTTGCATATTTGTCTGTAATATTTAAGGCGAGAAACACCAGAATGAGAAGAATTTACGTAACCACGTCTATTATTATGAGAGGGTTGAAACAGGCAGATACGAGATCAAAAGTAAGACAAAAAATAAATGGTTATAAGAATTAGCAGTCGAGAGGGAATTGAAAACTTTTTCCAAACTCCAATGCTGTCAGAAAACGTGCAAAAACTAGAAGGATAGCGCGCAAATATATCTTTACAACATAAAATAGCAAACAATTTGTGGTTGAACTTGAAATCAACTTTTAAACTTGTCCCTGATCCATTAAAACCTTCAAAATAATACAGTAAATTAAATGGAATTTGATTAATATTCGTTTATGAAGTGTATTAACGAGATAATAATTGTCAGTAAATAAATGAGCTTATTGAAACTCGTTCTTTTGCGGTGAATTAAATTTTCGGAAAACTTTCTTTCCCTGTTCATGAATCATCTTTCATTTAGAGATATTCCCGCACTCAGATATTGACGTGATGCACATCAGTTTTTTTTGCAACAGTTTATTATTATGCAATAATAATTCAAAAATGTCTCTATCCTCTATCACAGAAAGATCATGAATGTAAAATATTTTGTTTGTTTCGTAGTAATGTATTGTTGAGTTATCTCCCACTGATTTTTGACATTATCATAATAATTTATGTATACTGCCACGTAGGAAAACACTGTTCATTATTGGGCAATCCTTTAACTAACAAGATTTTTTTGCGAGATCTGTGAAATATAAAGTTTAATAAAGGTACGTTACAAGTTAAGATATATTTTGATGAATTTCTTAAATTTCTAGTTTCTTTTCTCTCTCTTTAAAACAAATATAATCACACAACGGTTAATTGTCGTCTGTGATGTCCAAGATGTAATATAAAATACAAATTCTCTTTGACTTATGTTCATCAAATACAATAAAGTTCTTTTTGTCTCTCAATGGTTGTAAATTGTGCTAACTTCATGTTGTATTTCTACACTAAAATATTGTTGTAATGTCTAAGTCTATATTGTTAATATAATGGCTTCCTTGAATATTCACAGGTAACTTTAAACTTCACGACGGAGATGGTTATTCGTTATGGCACTTAATGTTTATGGACAAATAATCATTAATGAAGTTTGATGAAATGAAAAAATGTAAGTTGTCTTAATTCAAATTAATGCGTCGCAAATTTTTGAATTTCTCATAAGTTATCATTTTATCTAAGGGTGAATTAATAAAAATCAACTGTAATAACACATTTGCACCATCATTTGGTTATATAATATTATATTATGATGAACTTGGATCAAATTAAATGGTCTTGTCCAACAATACATTTCTGAGTTTTACCCTTTCTTAATACGCTTCTGCATGAAGTACACGAATACATTGTCCTTATCACGTGCTAGCTAATACTCTTTTATAGTTAAGTGTCTCTCAATCATATGTATCACTATAGGGCAATTTATGTGCACTTATTCCAATTTTCCCTCAATAATTAATGATGATCGTTATAGGGCAATGGATTTAAATGACGATGAAAAACGATGGTGTATTTATGGAATCGTACTTAATAATGTTTTGATCCCAGCTGTTCGACCTTACCTGGAAAATAATATTTTAAATGAGTATAATGGATTAAAGAAATCTCATAATATTCATGTTCAAAAGATTCACAACTTTCCTTCACCAAAATATTCCCACGATCTACATTATGAAAATATCAGCAATAATGAAACCAAGGTTAAGAAGAAATTTAACTATGAAGTTAAGTCACATGTCGACTTTGGAAAACTGTTCCTTCAAAACCACATGGCAAAGTTTAACAATTACGACAGTTGTGACGCATCAGTAGTGCTTAATTTACTAGAAAGGATCCCAATTTTTTCCAACCCGATCCAGAATGCGGCAAAAATTGTTAGAGAAAATAGAAATTCTTGGGCTCACCCAATATTTAAGGAATGGAACGAAGAAAATTTTCAAACGAAAAGCGAAAATATGGAGAAAATTGTGAAAGAATTGTGTTTAGCAAATAAAGATGAAGTTTTGAATGTTATCAATTATTGGAAAGATCAAGGTATATTTTTCATTATTATATCATTGAGTGGGTTTTATTAACGTTTTGCAGAACGTATGAAACAAAAAATTAGTTATAACATCTTCATCTAAAACATCCCAGCAATATCGGTGTGTCGTTATATCGTATATTTAATATCTTTTATCAACACCATTTTAATTACATTTTACAGCTTTGGCATTGCGGACAAGCGATCGTACTTTATGTGAAGAGTTAAAAGATCACATTAACAGACTTTTAAAGGAAGTTGAAGAAACGAAATTTGAAAACGAAGAGTACAAAAAGTTAGTGCAAGAGACGCTTGACAAATTTTCACCTTGCATTAAAAAAATGGATCAGTTAGAAAGACGTGTTGAGAAAGTTGAAGGCAAAGTTGAGAAAGTTGAAGACAAAGTTGATAAAGTTGAAGACAAAGTTGAGAAAGTTGAAGACAAAGTTGAGAAAGTTGAAGACAAAGTTGAGAAAATTGAAGACAAAGTTTACAAAGTTGAACACAAAGTTGAGAAAGTTGAACACAAAGTTGAGAAAGTTGAACACAAAGTTGAGAAAGTTGAAGACAAAGTTGAGAAAGTTGAAGACAAAGTTGAGAAAGTTAAAGACAAAGTTGAAAAAGTTGAAGACAAAGTTGAAAAAGTTGAAGACAAAGTTGAGAAAGTTGAAGACAAAGTTGAAAGTTGAAGACAAAGTTGAGAAAGTTGAAGACAAAGTTGAGAAAGTTGAAGACAAAGTGAAAATTGAAGACAAAGTTACAAAGTTGAACACAAAGTTGAGAAAGTTGAACACAAAGTTGAGAAAGTTGAACAAAGTTGAGAAAGTTGAAGACAAAGTTGAGAAAGTTGAAGACAAAGTTGAGAAAGTTGAAGACAAAGTTGAGAAAGTTGAAGACAAAGTTGAGAAAATTGAAGACAAAGTTTACAAAGTTGAACACAAAGTTGAGAAAGTTGAACACAAAGTTGAGAAAGTTGAACACAAAGTTGAGAAAGTTGAACACAAAGTTGAGAAAGTTGAAGACAAAGTTGAGAAAGTTGAAGACAAAGTTGAGAAAGTTGAAGACAAAGTTGAGAAAGTTGAAGACAAAGTTGAGAAAGTTGAAGACAAAGTTGAGAAAGTTGAAGACAAAGTTGAGAAAGTTGAAGACAAAGTTGATAAAGTTGAAGACAAAGTTGAGAAAATTAAAGACAAAGTTTACAAAGTTGAACACAAAGTTGAGAAAGTTGAACACAAAGTTGAGAAAGTTGAAGACAAAGTTTACAAAGTTAAAGACACATTTGAGCAACTTCATCAAAGCGTTATTAATGGTATAATTTTAAAACAACAAAATTTCAAGTGCAGATTTATAAATTAAACAACACAAAACACACTAATGAAAATTTTAAACAAACTAAGCTATTGAAATAGTGTGAACAATTTGCAAAATGTTAACAATAAACCATTAGTGCTATATATAGAAATGCATTAAAGAATAAAGACGGGATGTCTTTCAAACAAAACTTACCTTAACATTGTATTTTCATAGATTTCGCCATTTGTGACCGCGATATCAAATTACACTACCGAAAATTCAATCAAAAAACAAGAAAATGGTTGATCAACGATTTCTCTGCTTGGTTCGATGAACCTGGAGAATCAAGAGCTTTTGTATTTATGGGAGATGCTGGAATTGGTAAAACAGTTATGTCAGCTGCTATCGCTCAACGCGCTAAGGATGATGGGAAGTTAGGAGCAGCATTCTTTTGTAGACATTATGATGGTACACGTCGTGATCCAAAATCTCTCCTGGCCAGTGTTGCTTATCAGTTAGGTAAACATTTTCCTGATTATTTAAAATTATTGGGAGGGGTGTCTGGAATACAAAAACGACTAAACGATACAACACTAGGCGTTCAAGAAATTTTTACTAAGTTTTTCGAAGAACCACTAAGTAATCTTAAGACTTTTTCAAAAACTCTCATTGTGATCGATGCTTTAGATGAGGCAGATTATGATTCGAAAAATGAATTTTTTGATGTGGTAACTTCTCGTTTTCCCCAACTTCCACAATGGCTACTTTTCTTTATAACAACACGTCCAGAAAATTACACGCAATTTACTTTGAAAAATTACAATCCATGTGTAAAGATTTGTTCAGGAATTGCGAATAATGCTAAGGCTTATGAAAAACATGAACAAGATATTCAAACTTTTTTTGAAAATCAAGTCGACTTCACTGGTAAATCATTTTCTGCAAAAGAAATTACAAAAAAATGTAAAGGAATGTTTTTGTTTGCACATTATCTTGTCAAAACTCTCAAAGATTCATCTGAAACGGATCTTGAAAAATGCCCAAAAGATATTGATGATTACTTTCTTAAAAATTTTAAACGTATTTATGAGAAAGTTGGAGAAGATTTCTATAAAAAATTGTTAGGTTGTGCAGTGGTTGCTCCTTCACCTCTTCCTAGTTCGTTTATTCCTTTTCTTTTAAAGAAAAGAAATTTAAATCTTGACGAACAAGAAGTAATTGATGCTATTTCACTGTTTTTTTCTTGTGATGAAGAAAAATTCACGTTTCTTCACAATCTTATACCTGACTGGCTCTCTGATAAAAAGCGCGCTTCGCGAAAGTTCGTAATAGATAAAACAGAAGCACAAATTTTCTTTAAGGAAATTGTCATCGAACTTTTGACATCATTCCTGGAGAATGGACTACCATTCAATGACTCAGATGAAAATTCCGTTGTCTGTTACATCCTCACAATTGAGTTTCGTTATCTATTTGATCTTTCAACTAAAAACTCTGAATTGTCGAGAATATTTTTTCAGTGTTTTACTAACTGTGAGTTTCTCAAACAACGAATACAAAGCAGTACATCAGGTATTTTTTCCATTTTAAATGACATTCACTTTGCAATTGGAAATATTGAGTTAAAAGAAGATGAAAAACAAACTGTTAAGGAACTACTGTCTATTCTTGAAAATGACAGTTTTTATTTGGTAGATAACCCTGATCTTTTGGACTCCTGTCTTTCAAGGTTATCCTCGAAGGTCAGAGAAGCATTTATATCAAAGCATTCAAACCAATGTAGATTGCCGAATATTATTTTAAATGACGACATTAATAGTTTAAAAATTAAGTGTGACGTCTATGCTTATTCAACAGACAGAACTTTGTTGGCAGGAGGAAAAGGAAACGTTCTTTATCTGTTTGAAACATCTTTTTTTCAACAAAAATTTGATCCCTTTCAGTTAAACGTGGACAAGATTCATTGCTTAGCATTCTCTCCTGACGACAAATGGATATTTTTTGGGACATTAAGATTCTGGTTTTCCGTAGACGAGAGAATGACAGTTGAGAAAACTCAATTTCCACAAACTGATACATTTTATAACTGGGCTTCTTTTGTTGAACATGAACATGTAAATTACATAGCGGTAAGAGCGGAAAATGTTGAATGTCGACGTGATGATGAATGTATATTTTCCGTCACTCCTGAGAAATATCCCACTTCTTCCAAACACCAAATCTGGAATGTCAAAACAGGGGATCATGTGTTCAAGCTCATGTGTGAAAGTGATCTTAATAATCAATGGAAACTGAATTCTTTTTTCTACATATGGCATTTTTTTCCATATACTCTTTATGAAACAATCTTCCATGAAGTCTTCATACATGAATTATCTCCAAACGAATTTCTCCAATATTTCTTGGTAAATCAATTTACATTTGATAAATCTAATGTAAAAATCTGCGACCATGGGATTTACTTTATGAATGATTATCAGAAAAAACGGCTCATCAAGGGAAATATGGTTTTGCCATCTAATTTGAATCATCGTTTTGGGCTTCTCGAAGATAGAGTATCGATTGTCAAGGAAGACTCCGTTTTCATTCACAACATGCCAATATCTTTACATAATCTGATTTGGGGCGATGTAGTTTGTTTGTCTAGTGACAAAAATTGGTTGCTTCTTAAACATAAATATCAATTTCATTTGTACAAATTTGATCATTTTCTAGATCATGACGAGGTTCACTTTAAGGACGATACTGTTGAGACTAGCCATGATAGCGTCAAGTTCCATGGTGTTATGGAAGGAAACTCAGATATATTTGGTTTCACGCATAATAACAACGCTATCATTTACAAAAATAGAAAAAATCTTTTTGCTTGGTTTTTGGATAGCAACAAGCATTTTGAAAGTGTTTCCAGATTTTTCCCTTTGCTTTGTATGGATGAGAAGTTTGTATTTCGATCGAATGGCGAAGAAAAAACGATTTCTTTACGAGACCTTCCTGCAGATTTTTTAAACTCAAACTTTCATAAAGACAACGTAGCCTTCCAAGTTAGACACATTTGATGCAAATAAATTCACATTCTCTTATGATAGACGGTATTTTGTAAAATGTTCTAATTCTGAACTTAAAATTTTTTCCGCCGATTCCTTTTTCTCCACTTCTGAAATAGTTCATAAACTGAAGAATGGTGAATCAGATTTCCATTTTGTGTTGTTTTCTCCAGACTCGTCCTTGATTCTATTTTGCACCAATAACAAGGATTCTCGTCGTCAAACCATTTACGTCTGGTTTGTGAAAGACAAAGTTTTAAAGCTTTTCCTTCCTAAAAATAATTGGATAGAAGTAGACACTTGTTGTTCTTCGATGAATAACCGCAAAATCATCTTGTGTAAAGGAACATCAATTTGGATATACGACTGTGATGGAAATATAGCCACTGAACCAACCACGCGTTCATTTCAATTAGGTAATAAACAGGAGAAGTGTAACCATTGTATTCTATCGTCTGACGACAAAATGTTAGCTTGCTGTGTAGAAAATAGAATAATTTTTTATGAGTTGCTAAGTGCTCCTGAAAAAGCATCTCAATTTGAGCATTCATGCATGGTTAAGTGTTGCTATTTTATGGGAAGAAACAAATATGTTTTGTTTCAAGATATTGTAGGTTACATGTTCATGTTTGATCTGATTCAATGGAAACTTGTAACACACTTTAAAGCTGAAGCTTCAGTTAAAATTTTTAAACTTACTGATTGCGAAATAACTTGTATTCAACCAAATGGTAAAATCAATTTTCTCGTTATTGACGGTTTAAAGGATTGGTCAGGCAAGGATTACAATCTACCTTATAATTTGTATGTGAGCGACTTCGCACCTTTTACAAACAGTGATGATGACGATTATTGCATTGATAGTGAATTTTGGCAATTTGAAAGTAATGAAAGTGATGATGACGATTATGGCGATTATAGTGAATCTTCGCAATGTGAAAGTAGTGAAAGTGACGATGAAATGGTTTAACAATGTAGCTTATAACTTATGTGTTTTGTTAATTTCACTAATAGTGATAATGAAGTCGACAGTACCACCGACAGTGTGAAATGTCAACTGAAATTATTTTGAAGGTCCAGGGCTGCATCGTTGAGATGTTACAAGAAATGAAAACTTTTGTCATAAAAACTCATTTCATTTATTTTTTATGTATAATGACTATAATCTACGCCTCCATCAAAGCATCGAATTTTTTCTAAACAAAATAGAAAAGGAAAAATTTGCTAAACGAATTTTCATAATCGTATATTTACCAACCACTATAAATGAGGGTTATTGAGAAAGCCAGCTTCTTTACCGGGGGGTGGCACAGTCATACAAACGAAATTAATATTTTGCGGTCAGAAGAAAATGTAGATAAATTATATCAACTTATTTGCTGACATATTCAAATTTCAAAACATACCTTCACATTTTTATGAACGTATATTTTAGAATTAAGATTTTTCTGCTGGTTAAGTCCGCAAATGTTTGCAGTATATTGTATTGTGAAAATATGCCCCCCTCCATACTCCGCGCCTAAATCATCAACCTGAAACATGCAAAGTTGTTGATAACTTGATCATCTAAGGCCGGTTGCAGGAACCTTGGATAGCGTTATCCATTGGATAGAAAAAATTTTCAAACTTGTAAAAAAGGTGTTTATACTTTTTTACGACAAAGAAATTCCGTAATCTTAAAAACAATGTTTTATTTCAGTGATTGCTTATTAGGAATCTTATAATTATTGCTTTTTGAAAACGTTTTATAAGAGTTAAAAAAATTGCTATCCAATGGACAACGCTATCAAGGCTTCGTGCAACCGGCCCCTGTTCCCAAGTTTCTTAAATTTTCTGCCTTTTTCAATAACTTTAAAAAACATTTGCTTAAGAACGTCATCTTAAAATCAAACTTTTTGTGAAGATAACACAGCTGTGTTGTGTAATAGTTGAGAATTCTTGATCTTAGAGATTGGGGAAAGTTAATAATTTAGAGATAGAAATGTTATATGTTGTGTAAACATGTAAATTTGTGGCTCTATTTCAGAAAAACATAATGAAAAAACTACCTTTTTTACACTTTTTAACAATTTATAGCAATGTTTAGAAAATCGTTTTGAGACAATTATTGATGTTAATGAGTCATTTCGTTCTGAGACCCGTGGACATTAAGTGAAAAAAATAATCTTATTTAAATCAAATATCACCCACTACGACTTAACCCACCCGTCGTATTGAAAAAAGTCATCTTAACGACAATCTTCAACATCAAATTAATTAGTGAACATTGCTATAAATCTAATTATTTACTTGTCGATATAATTCTAGATATTTGTAGTATAAATAAACAATACTATAAGAACCATGTTTATATGAAAGGTGAGACAGGACTTGACAAGTCTTTGTCACTTACCAAACAACAGTAGGGATCCTACCAAAGACGAAATGTTTTTCGACACGTAAATCATTCTTCATTTCCGACAAAAAAATATGAAAAGCTGATATGACATCACAGACTTGTCTTTAAACAGAAAATTATCAAATGTTGCTACCCTACCCCCACAAAAATAAATAAAACGTTTCGTTTAAACAAGCCTCAGGTTTCGTCTCTCCATTAATAAACAGACCTTAATTTAGAAATTGTAGATGTCAGTTAAGATAAAAAATGTTGTTGTAAGTAAAAGTAATCCAAACATTAACTGGTCATAAATTACATTATTTTTTATGAAGTTTGCATAAAGTTCAGCTAAATGACTGGAACTTTTTATAAGAACAAGTGTTTAGCCATGTAATAATCTTTTAGCATTTTGTAGACAATTTATTTAGTGGATTGAGAAGGATATTAAATAAAATATCAACCTCAAATCTACTGGAAATAATGTTGTTTTTTTATTTTGTATTTATCAAATAAATATATTTTCAACATAAGCACCTCATGATTTGCAATGTTCCTACAAATTGCTTTAGTAGTAAAAATTGCTACTTAAAGTGCATAACATGAATAATATTGCAAGTCATCGTACATTTTTAGTTCGACAATATTTAGGTCCAGTGGCGGATCTATGGATGGTCAGGATACATTACAATCTATTTTCATTTTAAAATACTCTGGAGCGAATCCTATTGGGATTATTTCAGTCTTAAATATTCTTTATAAACTTTTAATGTTGTTAAAAAGTCTTTTGAATTAAAAATAAGCTTCTATCATTTATTTTGAACTACCCTCGATGCGACACGGTCTAGGTCTTAATCAATTTAATCTTTCCTAAACCAAGTTTCATGCTTCCAAAGTATTAGTATGCATTTATCAGGGACCGAGGGGGACTGTGCAGTTATATCCCCCCCAAACAATTTTGCTTCCATTTTGAATTTTGTAGCCAAATCCCCTACTAGCAACAAACTTTCCAGGATTCAGTGGTCAATAACCATAGCACCTCCATTAAAGAATATGCTCCCCAGTCGCTCTTTATTCGTTATATTATTTGTATTTTATATAATTTGACGTTAAAATTCTATTTTAAGAGCAACAAGTTTTTAAACCCTTGTCTTCAATGTATTTTTACCCTGAAGAATTAAGCGATCAAACTAAACTATAAACGAGCTAAAACAGCCACGAGCCTTAAAGTTTCGGCTTAGCTGGAATCTTCTCCAATTTTTCATACAAACGATCAATTTCATCATTAAATCTTTTCGCTAACGTAAATCGTTTGGACTTAAGGGTTGGAGTTAGTAATCCATTATCTGGAGTGAATAATTGCGAATGAAGATGAATTCCTTTGACCTGAAATAATGACAGAAATAAGATGAGGTGAAATAAAACTACAGAAGAAAATTATCGAGTAAAAACCTGTTCAAACGACGTCAACTTTGCTTCCTTTCCTCTGGAGATGATGTCAAAAAGAATCATGTCATTGACGGCCTGAAGTTTGAAGTAATAGAAAGTACAAGCGTTTGAATGCAATGAAAAACATGTAGAATTTCTATGTTAATGTAGTACCGTATCCTGACATAATTCCTCAAAACGTTTGTTTATGTTATTGTCTTTGGCCGATTTTGTAAGAATTTCTTCATCAGGAACAATGATTCCAACAAGAAATGACTAAATATCGGAAAGATTTCATTATGCTAGATTGCAAACGAGAAATCATGAATTCATTCTTATTTTTATCAAAAAAAACAAAGCCAAACATTTTAAGGGAATAAATATTCCAAACAAATGCGAGTACATTTTCATCAATTTTTACTGAACAAACACGTTTCCTGACTGGCAAATCAAGAGCAATTTTTTATTTCAAATCTCAACCCATAAGAAAGTTAGTGAATTGAGACGAATTTTGATCTCAGCAGTAAGTAAAAGATATTGTAATTTTTTATAGCAAATCCAAATCTCAAAAATTAAGAATCAAATCAAAATTTCAAGCAAAAGTTCACAGCCATGCAGAATAACTCGCCCCAGTACCTTAAGACTAGAACCGTGTACAAAAGCTTGAGCGACGAAAGGACATTTGATGTAAACATTTTCAATTTTATCAGGAGAAATATATTCGCCCTAAAAGACACAATCACAAATAAGATAAATAAAAAACAACAAAATATATAATGGTTGGTATCATTTTTGTTGTATAAACCTGCGACAACTTGAAAATACATTTTTTTCGACCAATTATTTTAAGCGTTCCATTCTATAAAACAAAAACAGAAACATTATGAGCACCTCACCACATACTTAATCATTAAGTAAAAGATAATGTACACTGTATTTGCATGAAAGTACGATAATACAAAAAAAAATTGTTCATGATGACAAAATATTTTTCCTATCGTTTCCTTCTTAGAGAAATAAAATTAATATTAATTACAGCAGGCAGAAATAATTACTCCCTACTTTCATCCGCCCCAAGGTAAAACTACACATAAATCTTACCCGTGGTACCACTTGTGAAACAAATTGTGTAAACATCGTCAGGTTTAGCAGGCTGAAATAAATCACCACAAAATCCCATTATTTTGAACAAATACATAAATTTTAAAACAAAGAAGAGAAAATCGCCTAGAAAAAGATAACATACAGACATTTTCCAAGGATTCCAGTGTCCCATTAACTAAAAAATAAGAAATGAACACAAATCATTAAGCATGAGAAATTCTTGTACTTAATTAACCAAATCCAACAAAGAATTCTTACCATAACATCTTCAAATGACTTTACAGTTATTCCAAGTTTTTTAAAGTTTCCTCTCTCGTCTTTTGTCACATCACCAATTTTTATAATATGCTTGAGTTTAGGACATTGATGAACTGACTCCAATAATATTGGCAGCTTGATCTCATCACACACAACTAATGATAACTCAGCTGAATATAATTTGAAATCAAATGTCATCGACAGATGTTTCTTAATCACCATTGTAACTCCAACATCTTAGTAAACATACCATGGTTTATGATGTAGATACATGCTTCAACACCTAAACTCTCATACAGTGGAACAGATACAAAGGAAAACATAACACAGGCTCTGTCCATTAACATCCACTGAAAATAAAATAAAACATTACAGATCAAAATATGACCAATCTAAGTCAAGAATCATAATGTGTGAAACCTCCAATTTGTTCACAGCATAAATGCCAAATGTCATTTCAGTTGATGGTTTGTAGCCAAGTTCCATTATCCCAGATCCTAGAGCAAGTGCTTTTTGATGCACCTAAAATTTGGTAAAACTATAACTCATAAGGACTTCAGGCACTATAGATATAGTTTGTAGTAAATATGAGAACTACCTGATTGTGTGTTAACCATGAATATTTCCCATTAACTATCGTACCAAGATATGGCTGGTCACCTGTAGAGTGCATTAATAAATGAATACTTCATCAAATAACTTACAAAAATAAATAAACACAAAAATTAATTAACCAGAAATTTGAGTTCCTTTCTCATATGCTTCATAAACAGTAGTAATTCCTTGATATGACACCACCAACTCTTCTGAAAACAGAGATCTTTTTGCACCAGGATATTCCTATTCAAATAGAGAAAATACATTTAACAATGAAATATTTATTAAATTTGCTAATGGAAGGTATTGTACACTGCATTGCTAGGGATGGGAAAGTGAAAATAGTTTTATTTCACATGTGCAATAAACACACGAGGCAAGTCCCCCGCTGAATGTCCCTGGATTCATTTATAATAAAATGTTAAATGGGGTATTCATTTGTTTCTGTTAAAAGGAAATGACATCACATATTGTATAACTCTCAACTAGATTATTAATCACGTGACCAATGTACTTATATTTTTTGTTTCGCCTTGTAAAAGAGCACATGTTATGTTAAAATATATTCTCAATCATTATGGGTTAAGCCTAGGCCACACTATCGTCTATATTCACGAAAACGAAAACGAAACGAAAATTCGTTCACGAAATGCATGCCAGACACGACGAAAAATTACAAGCATGTTTGCAAAGCCAAAACTTTTTTTGGGCAATAAGCAAGCGGCGTTTTTGACGTATTAGAAAAAATGGCGATCTTTAAAAGAAAAAGATTACTTCTTCTTAAGAAAAAGTTACTGCTTTTTCAAATATCAATAAAAGTGGTCGCCACCATTTCCAATTCGGCTCGTCAGTGGCAGCAACACCACTAGCTCCTCTAAGATCGTACTGCCTTTTGTACTGCATGAGTGAATCACGCAGATTAGCCCACTTTTTCATGATAGTGTCAACTGTAAAATGTTTAAAAAATAATGGAAATGCATGATTTGATATAAAAAGTGTGTCGCGGACTATCAATAATACTCACTATCCCACGCCAAGTCCGTAATTTTATTAAATTCATCCAAAACATCTTGCCAGTGATTTCTTTTCTTGTTCCTCGAGTCCTTATAATCCTGGTGACTTTTATCATACAAAATTGGTTTTTCTCGCATCAGATTTATCAAAACCTCTTGCCACTCCGCCATGTTTGAGTACAAAGTCTGATATTACTAACCAAAGTATGCGTTTTCTTTGACGAAAAAGGTCAAAACTTCAACTCTTCTCATATGCAAGAAAACGAAATTTTCGTCGAGTTTTCGTTCTAGATTTTCGTTGCGTAAGTTTTCGTTCTACTATTCGTCGATATGGACGATAGTGTGGCCTAGGCTTAAATCTAACATGATGAATAATGATTAGCAAACCGCTCATTAGGAAAATAGAAACTTTGTACAATAGACAGAGAACATTCTCCTTCGGTTAAACACGGATAGCGAGATAAGATCAAAATCTCGACAAAATATTGTCTATTCGGATACACTGATCTGATATTAGACTGGATATAGCTTCTATAGGTAGCAAAAGTGAAGCCTAATTATATATGCAAAATTCACTTCCGGGTACCACAAGAAATACAAATTACTAATATAGAAATGTATGGCGGATAACGTTTACATACAAGGATTTTCGAATATTTAAGGCATTTCGTGACCTTTTACTAATCTTAAGCATATGCCATCGATAAAACAAGTTATGTTAATCAATTTGACATCAAAATGATACCAATATCTGCAAAATATCGGCGTTCGTGTTCAATTGAACATTGCGCGTGCAAGAATCGAATTTGCCCCATCGTTGCAAAGGCAAGATAATTCACAGCTCATTTTCCAAGTTCAGAGGCAGTTATGATCTAGAATGAGTTTCGATGCTTAAAAATTCGTTTAGTACCTTTCTTTTATCATTCTTTATTATCTAGACATTGTTTTGTGTAAATTTTGCCGTGACTTTCTAAGCTGGGTACTGTTGTTTTAGGAACAAGACAATTTACTAAGCTTTCTTCCTCTCTTTATTCTTATTTTCAATTCTGTTTTTATTTTATAAAAATAATACAATCACCACATCTTGCTGTAGCATTTGTATATGGCCATGAATAAGTATGGTTGTTATTGACAAAAGTATCCAACATTTTTAACAATTACAATCTATACCGTAGCATCAGGAATTGTATTCCCATGTGGTAAACTGCCATCTGAAGTGAAAAGCACCTTTCTATTTTACTGCATACTTGAATAACAATAGCTGTTGGTTTGAATCAAAGTACTCATGTCTTTTAAAGACAGGAAAGCAGATTCACTTTAGTAATTTTTTCAACCAACAGCTTCTTAATAAGTAGGGCAGGTGGTTTTCTTTGGCAGCATCTGCCTATAAAATTAGCCATGTATAGTATTGCAATCACTTTAAATTCAGAAACAATGGAAAAGCTGTGTGCACTACTATAATCTTGATAATCATCACAGTATATGTTTTGTCTACAAACAGAAGTAATTTGTTTCAAACCAACAGCTATTGTTATATCAACATGAAACAAGGCAGGATGGTGTTTTCAGCTTCTGATGGTAGTTTATTACATGGGAATACAATTTCTGTTGCTGAATCTTTGTATACAATGCAATTGATGCACATGTTCTGTCAATAACAACTATACTCACTCATTCATGAAGGCCATGTCCAAATGTATTAGCAAAGCGTGTTGATTAAATTATATCTGTAAAATAAAAACGGAAATGAAAATAAGAATAAAGTGAGGAAGAAAGCTTAGTAAATTTGTCTTCTTCCTATAACAAGAGTACCCAGCTAATGAAGTCACGGCAAAAGTTACACAAAACAATGTCTAGATAATAAAGAATGATAAAAGAAAGGTACTTTAAGCATCGAAACTCTCTTCTCTGAACTTGGAAATGAGCTGTGAATTATCTTGCCTTTCAACGATGGGAATTGATTCTTGCACGCGCAATTTTCAATTGAACACGAGCGATATTTTGCAGATATTGGTATCATTTTGATGTCAAATTGATTAACATAACTTGTTTTATCCATGACAGATGTTTGAGATTAGTAAAGAAATGCCTTAAATATTCGAAAATCCTTGTATAACAACGTTAACATAAGTAATTTGTATGGTACCCGGAAGTGGATTTTGCATATATAATGAGGCTTCACTTTTGATACCTATAGAAGCCAGAGCCCTCTATTAGTAATAGAGGGCTCTGATAGAAGCTATATCAGTCTATTATCAGATCAGTGATTCGGATACCTCATTGAAGTCATTGGGGATTCTGTGAAATATAAAGTTTAATAAAGGTACGTTACAAGTTAAGATATATTTTGATGAATTTCTTAAATTTCTAGTTTCTTTTCTCTCTCCTTAAAACCAATTAAGGAATATAATCACACAACGGTTAATTCTCGTCTGTGATGTCCAAGATGTAATAAAATACAAATTCTCCTTGACTTATGTTCATTAAATACAATAAAGTTCTTTTTTCTCTCAATGGTTGTAAATTGTGCTAACTTCATGTTGTATTTCTACACTAAATTATTGATGTAATGTTTAAAGGCTGAAACATACTAGGCAGTCGCTTTAGTCGCGCGTCCAAAGCGAATTGATGCGCACGCGTCAGTCGCTTAAACGCCAGAAACGCAAATGCAGCGGACAATCGCGACCATTGAGTTCTATAATAACTGGAGGGGCTAACTTTACTGGGGCGAGGATGCCAAAAAAATGGCAGCCAACGGACGTATTTCCGCTGAAATGATCGCTTTGCAGAAAAATAATATTCTCGACCTCCCCCTGGTGTCTATAGTAAATTATAAAGAATTTTTCAAAAACAAACACGATATCACAGAATACGGACATCGTTAGTTCCATAATCGGTGACGATATCTTTTTTGGGATTTCTTTTATAATGCCAAAACTTCAATCGTTCAATTGTTGGATGTCGTAGTTTCCACAAAAAGGAACATATCGCTTCTCACAGGTGAGGTAGTTGTTTGTTTTGTTAGTCCGTCAACGATTGAAAAGCAATTATACATGCACTTGAAAAGCCATAAAATACATATTAAAGATCGTATTTTTTAAGACTGACTTGAACGCCAAATAAACTGATGTTTTCCTGTTTATAAAACTCTGTATACTTGTAAAATTCTTATAAAATTCTGTATACTTTTCTGTCATTTGTTAATGCATGAAATCGTAAATTTACCCATCTATTTGCAAAATAGTTTCCTAAAGCAAAAGACACTGCACACATTTTGCTCTGTATCAAAATGTGATCTGGTATCAAAAGAAATGATCAGCCCCAACGGTACCCATGATTTGGAGCAGAGCTTGTTATGTTCTATTTGCTGACAACATGCAGGGAAGATCAAGGAGTAAAGATGACTGGAAGATGTTATTGACCAGGCAGAGTCTTAAAAAATGATAATGCTGTAAAGATAATTGATTTATTGTCTGCCCTATCCAGAGTTATTTAATTTGATTGTGGTCAAATTCTATGGATGGAGACAATGGATTCACTAAGGATGCCTTGAATGCTTTGAAGTTAAAGTTCATGATCCAAAGAAAGATGGCAAGAAGGTTGTGTGTGTTTTGATGCTTAATGAAATGTCAATTCACAAACATGTAAAATGGAAGGCCATAAAGTTTGTGTCTATGTAAACATTTGTACTGAGATTGATGATGACTCGATGCAGATGTGAAGCTTCAAACTGTATAAGCCATTGGGTTTTATGTAACTTAATGTTTAAATCATGTCATATCTTTATCAAAATATTTTAGTTGAGTGTTGTTTGAATGTTACTAATATCTAATGCACTATACTGAAGCATTAAAGATTCAGTGATGAAACCTTTAAAGTTACTGTACTGTATATTTCTTATATATTTCTTATATTTCTTCAAGAAAAATTTGAGCTTATTTACCTATTAGAGTACAGAATGGAGATTTATCATATGCATTGTGCTGCTTTTTAAAGAAAAGTTTTCACTTTTCAAAGCTTTTCTAAAATTTTTGCTTCTTATTTCTTATCATGAGATTGATGATATAGAGGTAATATAATCCAATAACTTTCTAATTTCTAAAAAGCTTTTAAGCTTCTAGCATAAAAGTACACTATAGGAATGTAATTCATTTGGTTTTATTGCCTTGCTATGACATATCTACTTGCACTTCATCATTCTTCTATGAACAAAACACCAGATGTGGATACTCAGAGAACAAAATGCACTACCAACTGCTTATGAAATTTATTATTGAGGTGAAAACTGTGTTAATCATTCAAATTATAGTGCACTTATATTGCAAATATAGGAAAAACAAAACAAAGTGAAAAAGAAAGGTAGAAGTATTAAAACTACAAATGAGTTATAAACACCATTGGAAGCATAAGTGTTTTGATGATTATTTGCATTTTGCCCAACTCATATATCCAGAGATTTAATATTTACTTTTTTAAAGAAACAAGTAAAAATCCTACAATTGTGGCGAAAAAAGCCATTGCCCATTGCATGAAAAGAAGCAAAATAGCAATGATAACAAATAAGCTGACTTCTCTCTCGTGAACCGTGGAGATGAACTATGATATACTTTTTTGTATAGACTAAAGAGTTTAATCGATCAAACAAATTTGACGCTGGTAAGAAAACGACGCACATCTGCATTCATACATGTGTAGCCGACATATAGGTCTTTCGTCGATAGTTATAAATGCATCCTCGTAGGAGCAGATAACTGACAACCACAGTTGACTCGCTGTTATGAATTGCAGGTTTTTATTGTGATTTTCATCAAAAAATTGCTTGCCGAATCCCAAATACACATATACATTTTCCTCACTCTTTCCTCAGGAGGGAGTGGGAAATTGTGAAATTTTCGGAAAAGCGGTCAATTTCGGTAAATCTCAGCGGCAACGGACGAAATCCGCCATTTTTTTGGCATCATCAGATATCTAAGGCCGCGCTTGAGATAGCCGCTCCAGTTATTATAGAACTCAATGATCGCGACATTTAACGTGGCGTTTATTGAACATGGCGGAGATTTCTGTTTGTTACAGACACAGACATCACTTAAACTTTTTATTTTGGCCTTTATTATAGCTACTAATATATGAATATTTACTCAGTACAAACTACTATGTGGAGAAAAGAGAACAAGCCAGTTAAAACACGCCAATAAGATCATAGCCCATTACGCGTGTATCGTGGACAATCTTATTCTGTGCATTTAGGTTGTGCATTAGGGTTGCAGTTTGTAGCTCCTATTGTCCCTATTTAATAAATCATATAAAATCTGAAAGATTCCAGTGTGAATTCACTATATATTGCCTTCGTTTTCCAAGGTATAATCTATAAATTTCGTATGATGCTTATGATAGGGAATATGATATGCATTTAGGAAGTTAAAATTTATCTATTGGCCAATCAGTGTAAAGCGACTGAAGCGACCAATGTCAAAAGTTCAACATGTTGAACTGTCAAAGCGACCAGATGACGCGCTACGCTACTTGCTTAATAACCACGCAAAGCTGTAGTTTTAGACGCGCAACGAAAGCCATTGCCTAGTGTCTTTCAGCCTTAAGTCTATATTGTTAATGAAATGGCTTCCTTGAATATTCACAGGTAAATTTAAACTTCACGACGGAGATGGTTAATTGTTATAGCACTTAAAGTTTATGGAGAAACAATCATTAATGAAGCTTGATGAAATGAAAAAATGTAAGTTATCTTAATTTCAATTAATACGTCGCAAATTGTTGAATTTCTCATAACTTATCCTTTTATCTAAGGGTGAATAATAAAAATCAACTATAATAATATATTTGCACCATCATTTGCTTATATAATATTATATTATGATGAACTTGGATCAAATTAAATGGTCTTGTCCAACAATACATTTCTGAGTTTTACGCTTTCTAAATAAAAGATTTTTAAAACTTTTGTAATAACTCAAGAAATATAGCTCCCTGTCTAGTTCCTTTTAATACGCCTCTACATGAAGTACACACATACGTTGTCCTTATCACATGCTAGCTTTTAGTTAAGTGTCTGTCAATCATATGTATCACTATAGAGCAATTTATATGCATGTATTTCAATTTTCCCTCAATAATTAATGATGATCGTTTTAGGACAACGTTAAATGACGATGAAAAACGATGGTGTGTTTATGGAATCGTACTTAATCATGTTTTGATACCAGCTGTTCGACCTTACCTGGAAAATAATATTTTAAATGAGTATGATGGATTAAAGAAATCTCATAATATTCATGTTCAAAAGATTCACAACTTTCCTTCACCAAAATATTCCCACGATCTGCATTATAAAAATATCAACAATAATGAAACAAAGGATAAGAAGAAATTTAACTATGAAGTTAAGTCACATGTCGACTTTGGAAAACTTTTCCTTCCAAACTACATGGTAAAGTTTAACTGTTACAACAGTTGTGACGCATCAGTAGTGCTTAGGTTACTAGAAAAGGTCCCAATTTTTTCGTACCTGATCCAGAATGCGGCAAAAATCGTTAGAGAAAATAGAAATTCTTGGGGTCACTGCAATTTTGACGAATGGAACGAAACAGATTTTCAAAAGAAAATCGACAATATGAAGCAACTTGTGAAAGAATTGTGTTTAGCAACTGAAGATGAAGTTTTGAATGATATAAATCATTGGAAAGATCAAGGTATATTTTTCATTATTATATCATTGAGTGGGTTTTATTAACGTTTTGCAGAACGTATGAAACAAAAAATTAGTTATAACATCTTCATCTAAAACATCCCAGCAATATCGGTGTATCGGTATATCGTATATTTAATATATTTCATCAACACCATTTTAATTACATTTTACAGCTTTGACATTGCAAACAATTGATCGTACTTTATGTGAAGTGTTAAAAGATCCCATTAACAGACTTCGAAAAGAAGTTGAAGAAATGAAATTTGAAAACGAAGAGTACAAAAAGTTAGCGCAAGAGAAGCTTGACAAATTTTCGAACTGCATTGAAGAAATAGATCAGTTGAAAAGACGTGCTGATAAAGTTGAATACACAGAAAGCATCATTGTCAAAAAAACTGATCAACTTCAAGACAAAGTTGAGCAACTTTATCAAAGCTATATTAATGGTATATTATTAGAACAACTAAATTTCAAGTGCAGATTTATAAATTCAACATCACAAAACACACTATTAAGGATTCTAAGCAAACTAAGTTATTGAAAAAATGTGAACGATTTGCAAAATGTTAACACAAACCATTACTGCTATATATAGAAATGCATTAAAGAATGAAGACGAGATGTCTTTCAAATAAAACTTACTTTAACATTGTATTCTCATAGATTTTGCCAATTGTGACAGCGATATCGATGTACACTATCAAAAATTCGATCCAGAAACAAGAAAATGGTTGATCAACGATTTCTCTGCTTGGTTCGATGAACCTGGAGAATCAAGAGCTTTTGTATTTATGGGTGATGCTGGAGTTGGTAAAACAGTTATGTCAGCTGCTATTGCTCAACGCGCTAAGGATGATGGGAAGTTAGGAGCAGCATTCTTTTTTAGACATAATGATGGTACACGTCGTGATCCAAGATCTCTCCTGGCCAGTGTTGCTTATCAGTTAGGTAAACGTTTTCCTGATTATTTGAAATTATTGGGAGGGGTGTCTGGAATACAAAAACGACTAAGCGATACTAAACTAGGCGTTCAAGAACTTTTTACTAAGTTTTTCGAAGATCCATTATGGAAGCTTGAGACTTTTTCAAAAACTCTTATTGTTATCGATGCTTTAGATGAGGCAGATTATGATTCGAAAAATGAATTTTTTGATATGGTAACTTTTCGTTTTCCCCAACTTCCACAATGGCTACTTTTTTTTATAACAACACGTCCAGTAGATTACACGCAATTTACTTTAAAAAATTACCATCCATGTGTAAAGATTTGTTCAGGAGATGCGAATAATGCTAGGGCTTATGAAAAACATGAACAAGATATTCAAACTTTTTTGGAAAATCAAGTCGACTTCACTGGTAAATCATTTTCTGCAAAAGAAATTACAAAAAAATGTAAAGGAATGTTTTTGTTTGCACATTATCTTGTCAAAACTCTCAAAGATTCATCTGAAACGGATCTTGAAAAATGCCCACAAGATATTGATGGTTACTTTCTTAATAATTTTAAACGTATTTATGAGAAAGTTGGAAAAGATTTCTATAAAAAATTGTTAGGTTGTGCAGTGGTTGCTCCTTCACCTCTTCCTAGTTCGTTTATTCCATTTCTTTTAAAGAAAGAAAATTTAAATCTTGACGAACAAGAAGTAATTGATGCTATTTCACTGTTTTTTTCTTGTGATGAAGAAAAGTTCACGTTTCTTCACAATCTTATACCTGACTGGCTCACTGTTAAAAAACGCGCTTCGCGAAAGTTCGTAATAGATAAAACAGCAGCACAAGTTTTCTTTAAGGAAATTGTCATCGAACTTTTGACATCATTCCTGGAGAATGGACTACCATTCAATGACTCAGATAAAAATTCCGTTGTCTGTTACATCCTCGAAATTGAGTTTCGCTATCTATTTCATCTTTCAACTGAAAACTCTGAATTGTCGAGAATTTTTTTTCAGTGTTTTACTAACTATCAGTTTCTCAAACAACGAATAGAAAGAAGTACATCAGGTATTTTTTATCTTTTAAATGACATTCACTTTGCAATTGGAAATATTGAGTTAAAAGAAGATGAAAAACAAACTGTTAAGGAACTACTGTCTATTCTTAAAAATGACAGTTTTTATTATGTAGATAACCCTGATCTTTTGGACTCCTGTCTTTCAAGGTTATCCTCAAACGTCAGAGAAGCATTTATGTCAAAGCATTCAAACCAATGTAGATTGCCGAATATTTATTCCAATGGCGACGCTTATATTTTAAAAATTAAGTGTGACGTCTATGCTTATTCAACAGACAGAACTTTGTTGGCAGGAGGAAAAGAAAACGTTCTTTATCTGTTTGAAACACCTTTTTTTCAACAAAAATGTGGTCCCTTTCAGTTAAACGTGGACAAGATTCATTGCTTAGCATTCTCCCCTGACGACAAATGGATATTTTTTGGGACATTAAGATTCTGGTTTTCCGTAGACGAGAGAATGACAGTTGAGAAAACTCAATTTCCACAAACTGATACATTTTATAACTGGGCTTCTTTTGTTGAACATGAACATGTAAATTACATAGCGGTAAGAGCGGAAAATGTTGAATGTCGACCTGATGATAAATGTATATTTTCCGTCACTCCTGAGAAATATCCCACTTCTTCCAAACACCAAATCTGGAATGTCAAAACAGGGGATCATGTGTTCAAGCTCATGTGTGAAAGCGATCTTAATAATCAATGGAAACTGAATTCTTTTTTGTACACATGGCATTTTTTTCCATATACTCTTTATTACATGTCCGACCTTGCATTGTCTCCAAATGTATTTCTCCGACGTTTCTTGGTACGTTATTTTAATGCAGATAAATGTAATGTAGAAATCTGCGACCAGGGGATTTACTTTATGAAGGAATACATGTCACTACCTCGCCCATTACAATTCTTTTATTGGATGAGAGATTGTCTGAAAGATTTCTTCATGGGAAATATGGTTTGGCCATCTAATTTGAATCGTCGTTTTGGGCTTCTCAAAGATAGATTATCGATTGTCCAGGAAGGCTCCGTTTTTATTCACAACATGCCAATATCTTTACATAATCTGATTTGGGGCAATGTAGTTTGTTTTTCTAGTGACAAAAATTGGTTGCTTCTTAAAAACATATGTATACTTGGTGATGTATGTAAATCTTATTTGTACAAATTTGATCATTCTCAAGATCATGACGAGGTTCACCTTAAGGACGATACTGCTAAGACTAGCCATGATAGCTTCAAGCTCCATGGTGATATGAAAGAAAATTCAGATATATTTGGTTTTACGCATAATAACCACGCTATCATTTACAAAAATATAAAAAATCTTTTCGCTTGGTTTTTGGATAGCAACGAGCATTTTGAAAGAGTTTCCAGATTTCCCCCTTTGCTTTGTGAGGACGAGAATTCTGCTGCGGGACTTAAGTTTGTATTTCGATTGAAAGGCGAAGAAAAAATGATTTCTTTACAAGATTTTCCTGCAGATTTTTTAAGCTCAAACTATTATAAAGACAACGTAGCCATTTCCCAGTTAGACACATCTGATGCAAATAAATTCACATTCTCTTATGATGGACGGTATTTTGTAAAATGTTCTAATTCTGAACTTAAATTTTTTTCCGCCGATTCCTCTTTCTCCACTTCTGAAATAGTTCATAGACTGGAGGATAGTAACTCAGTTTTCCATTTTGTGCTGTTTTCTCCAGACTCATCCTTGATTCTATTTTGCACCAAAAAAAAGGGTTCTTGTCGTAAAACCATTTACGTCTGGTTTGTGAAAGACAAAGTTTTAAAGCTTTTCCTTCCTGAAAATTATTTGATGGAAGTAGACACTTGTTGTTCTTCCATGAATAACCGCATAATCATCTTATGTAGAGGAACATCAATTTGGATATACGACTATGATAAAAATATAACCAGTGAACGAACCATGTGTTCATTTCAATCAGATAGTAAACGGGAGGAGTGTAGCCATTGTATTCTGTCGTCTGACGACAAAATGTTAGCTTGTTGTGTAGAAAATAAAATAATTTTTTATGAGGTGCTAAGTGCTCCTGAAAAAGCATCTCAATTTAAGCATTCATGTACGGTTAAGTGTTGCTATTTTATGGGAAGAAACAAATATGTTTTGTTTCAAGATATTGTAGGTTGCATGTTCGTGTTTGATCTGATTCAATGGAAACTTGTAACATACTTTAAAGCTGAACCTTTAGTTAAAATTTTTAAACTTACTGATTACAAAATAACTTGTATTCAAGATGATGGTAAAATCAATTTTCTCGCTATTCGCGGTTTAAATGATTGGTCAGGCAAGGAGTACAATCTACCTTATAATTTGTATGTGAGCGACTTCGCACCTTTCACAAGCAGTGATAATGACGATTATTGCATTGATAGTGAATTTTGGAAAGCTGAAAGTAATGAAAGTGATGATGAAATGGTTTAACAATGTAGCTTATAATTTATGTGTGCTGTTAATTTCACTAATAGTGATAATGAAGTCGACAGTATCACCAACAATGTGAAATGTAAGCTGAAATTATTTTGAAGGTCCAGGACTGCATCGTTGAGATGTTACACGAAATGAAAACTTTTGTCATAAAAATTCATTTCATTTATTTTTTATGTATAATGACTATAATCTACGCCTCCATTAAAGCATCGATATTGTTCTAAACAAAATAGACAAGGAAAAATTTGCTAAACGAATTTTCACAATCGTATCTGTACCAACTTCATAAGTGAGGGTTTTTGAGAAAGCCAGCTTCTTTTTCGGGGGTGGCACATTCATACAAACGAAATTACTATTTTGCAGTCAGAAGCAAATGTAGATAAATTATATCAACTTATTTGTTGACATCTTCAAATTTCAAAACATACCTTCACATTTTTATTAGGTATATTTTGAGATTAAGATTTTTTTGCTAGTTAAGTCCGCAAATGTTTTCAGTATTTTGTATTGTTAAAATATGCCTCCCTCCATACTCCGCGCCTAAATCATCAACCTGAAACATGCAAAGTTGTTGATAACTTGATCATCTAAGGCCGGTTGCACGAACCTTAGATAGCGTTATCCATTGGATAGCAAAAATTTTCAAACTTGTAAAAAAGATGTTTATTTTTTTTACGACAAAGAAATTCCGTAATCTTAAAAACAATGTTTTATTTCAGTGATTGCTTATTCGGAATCTTATAATTATTGCTTTCAAAACGTTTTATAAGAGTTAAAAAAATTGCCAAAAATTCTTGATCTTAGAGATTGGGGAAAGTTGATAATTTAGAGGTAGAAATGTTATATGTTGTATAAACATGTAAATTTGTGGCTATATTTCAGAAAAACATAATGAAAAAACTACCTTTTTTACACTTTTTAGCAATTTATAGCAATGTTTAGAAAATCGTTTTGAGACAATTATTGATGTTATTGATGTTAATGAGTCATTTCCTTCGGAGAACCCGTGGACATTAAGTGAAAAAAATAATCTTTATCAAATCAAATATCACCCACTACGACTTAACCCACCAGTCGTATTGGAAAAAGTCATCTTAACGACAATCTTAAACATCAAAGTAATCCGTGAACATTGCTATAAATGTAATCATTTACTTGTTGATATAATTCTAGTTATTTGTAGTATAAATAAACAATACTATAAGAACCATGTTTATATGAAAGGTGAGACAGAACTTGACGAGTCTTTGTCACTTACCAAACAACAGTTGGGATCCTACCAAAAACGAAATGTTTTTCGACACGTAAATCATTCTTCATTTCCGACAAAAAAATATGAAAAGCTGATATTACATCACAGACTTGTCTTTAAACAGAAAATTATCAAATATTGCTACCCTACCCCTACAAAAATAAATAAATCGTTTCGTTTAAACAAGCCTCAGTTTCGTCTCTCCATTAATAAACTGACCTTAATTTGGAAATTGTAGATGTCAGTTAAGATAAAAAATGTTGTTGTAAGTAAAAGTAATCCAAACATTAACTGCTCATAAATTACATTATTTTTTATGATGTTTGCATAAAGTTCATCTAAATGACTGGAACTTTTTATAGCAACAAGTGTTTAGCCATGTAATAATCTTTTAGCATTTTGTAGACAATTCATTTAGTGGATTAAGAAGGATATTAAATAAAGTATCAACCTCAAATCTACTGGAAATAATGTTTTCTTTTTATTTTGTATTTATCAAATAAATATATTTTCAACATAAGCACCTCAAGATTTGCAATGTTCCTAGAAATTGCTTTAGTAGTAAAAATTGCTACTTAAAGTGCATAACATGAATAATATTGCAAGTCATCGTACATTTTTAGTTCGACAATATTTAGGTCCAGTGGCGGATCTATGGATGGTCAGGATACATTACAATCTATTTCCATTTTAAAATACTCTGGAGCGAATCCTATTGGGATTATTTCAGTCTTAAATATTCTTTATAAACTTTTAATGTTGTTAAAAAGTCTTTTGAATTTAAAATAAGCTTCTATAATTTATTTTGAACTACCCTCGATGCGACATGGTCTAGGTCGTAATCAATTTAATCTTTTCTAAACCTAGTTCCATGCTTCCAAAGTATCACTATGCATTTATCATGGATCGAGGAGGACTGTGCAGTTATATCCCCCTTCAAATAATTTTGCTTCCACATTGAATTTTGTAAACACATCCTCTACTAGCAAACAACTTTCTGGGATTCAGTGGTCAATAACCATACCACCTCCATTAAAGAATATGTTCCGCAGTCGCTCTTTATTCGTTATATTATTTGTATTTTATATAATTTGACGTTAAAATTCTATTTTCAGAGCAACATGTATTTAAACCCTTGTTTTCAACGTATTTTTACCCTGAAGAATTAAGCGATCAAACTAAACTATAAACGAGCTAAAACAGCCACAAGCCTTAAAGTTGCGGCTTAGCTGGAATCTTCTCCAAGTTTTCATACAAACGATCAATTTCATCATTAAATCTTTTCGCTAACGTAAATCGTTTGGACTTAAGGGTTGGAGTTAGTAATCCATTATCTGGAGTGAATAGTTGCGAATGAAGATGAATTCCTTTGACCTGAAATAATGACAGAAATAAGATGAGGTGAAATAAAACTACAGAAGAAAATTATCGAGTAAAAACCTGTTCAAACGACGCCAACTTTGCTTCCTTTCCTCTGGAGATGATGTCATTCAGAATCATGTAATTGACGGCCTGAAGTTTGAAGTAATAGAAAGTACAAGCGTTTGAATGCAATGAAAAACATGTGGAATTTCTATCTTAATGTAGTACCGTATCCTGACATAATTCCTCAAAACATTTGTTTATGTTATTGTCTTTGGCCCATTTTGTAAGAATTTCTTCATCAGGAACAATGATTCCAACAAGAAATGACTAAATATCGGAAAGATTACATTATGCTACAATGCAAACAAGAAATCATAAATTCATTCTTATTTTTATAAAAAAATCAAACATAATAATAATATTCAAATAATAAATCATTCATTTATCATCAAATTCAAAGCCAAACATTTTAAGCGAATAAATATTCCAAATAAATGCAAGTACATTTTACTGGCAAATCAACATTTTTACAATTTTGATTCAGCATCATATCAATTCTCAACCCATAAGAAAGTTAGTGAATTGAGACGAATTTTGATCTCAGCAGTCAGATATCGTAAATTAAATCTAAAGTGAATTGAGACGAATTTTGATCTCAGCAGTAAGCAAAAGATATCGTAATTTTTATGCAAATCAAATCTCAAAATTAAGAATCAAATCAAAATTTCAAGCAAAAGTTCACAGCCATGCAGAACAACTCGCCCCAGTACCTTAAGACTAGAACCGTGTACAAAAGCTTGAGCGACGAAAGGACATTTGATGTAAACATTTTCAATTTTATCAGGAGAAATATATTCGCCCTAAAAGACACAATCACAAATAAGATAAATAAAAAAACAAAATATATAATGGTTGCTATCATTTATGTTTTATAAACCTGCGACAACTTGAAAATACATTTTTTTCGACCAATTATTTTAAGCGTTCCATTCTATAAAACAAAAACAGAAACATTATGAGCACCTCACCACATACTTAATCATTAAGTAAAAGATAATGTACACTATATTTGCATGAAAGTACGATAATACAAAAAATTGTTCATGATGACAAAATATTTTTCTATCGTTTCCTTCTTAGAGAAATAAAATTAATATTAATATATTATAATAAATTATAATAAATTTCTTTAAAGGAACTTGCTTCGTATTTGGTGTAAAATTCTTGAAGTCAAATGTCTGTTTTTTAGTTATCATCTTCCTGAATTCGCTTACAGATAATGTCTTAGCAAAAATTAACAACCAGTTAACGTCATTTTTCCCACATTAATTTCGATAACAACAAAAAAACATTATTTTACATCCTTTGCTACTATGTAACTTCAACTGACCTGTTTCCATTCTCCTACATCACCTGTATGCAACCAGCCATCATCATCTAACATTTCAGATGTTTTGTCAGGATTTTTAAGATATCCCTTGAAGACATTTGGACCATAGACACATATCTTAAAACAAAAATCATTCTTTCAATGCACAATCGTAACATAACATTAGCAAAGTAGAAAATAAAAAACAAGATTCGTTACTTCGCCTTGATTGTTTGAAGTAAAATAGTTCATTTCTGGTACATCAACAAGTTTCACATAGTTACAGGCACTAGGTGATCCAACGTGACCTATAGGTACATACATGGATAAAATATAGTCACCTGTTGGTATAGACATGTATAAGATAGGGTCACTTATAAGTATACAGATGGATAAAATATGTTGAAAAATTCCTAGTGAGTTATTCACTCTATATTGTGTAAAATACTTAGGAAAACATTGTACCATTATTAATTAGAAATGATTACAAAACCTGGACATGACTACAATAATAGCGCTATCAACTGCAGGGCCTGGTACCTACGTAGATAATATGAATGGGGTTTATAGGTAATTGTGACAATCTAACAATAGAGATGAACATTAAGTGTTCGCTTTTAGCTCATTTTCTAGGATATTATAGTTCATTGTACATAAATAAAAGATGACAAAACACTTCAAATCAACTATTCAGACCCAGGCCCCAGGCAACCTTACTTAGGTCTTAATGTCTTAATATTGACTTTCTCAACGTTTACAATATTACATTTTAAATGAAGTACCACAGAAGTGTTCATACGGAAATACGTAGTACCTGGGGAAAGATCAAGTTTATTTGTCAGAGAAACAAGTGCTGTAGACTCAGTCTGACCATAACCTTCAAAAATCTTAACACAAAGAGAACTAAGATGTAACCATGGTAACACAGTTGAAACGTGATGTCATAAATAAATACGAACCAAACATCCAAGAACGACTCTTAAAAACTCTAAAACTTTACCATCAATAGGAGCAGCACCTGTGAGAATGATATTTACATTTCCACCTAAAATTGCCTGTAAAGAAGAAAGTTGTCAGTTAGTTTCAATACCAGTCCCCCGAAAGAATGACGGCGAGTGCCCGGTGCAGCCAAATGTAATTTACAATTCATTGGCCAGGTGAGAGTAAACAATTAGCGGGAAATATAAGGAAAATCACTAATCTTAATATCATTGAAACATGATAATAGCTTTTTTAATGAAACGAATGAAGTGTTTTACGAGTATAAAAATGTTGACGTAACGAGGCCTCATCGGTGACGTAACGGGCTCTTACCTGTGACGAAGGAAGCCCCCACCAGTGAAGTAAATGGCACTCAAGGGGTGACGTAACAGTCAGTCACCGGTGACGTAACAGCCTGTCCGTTTCGTACTTGAATTTTATGAAAAACTATTTTGTCCCACAAAGTATTTTTGGAGATTTGACCTCTACAGTGAAAATAAATATATTTAGATTTTCATAATGGTCTTAAAGCTATTTCATTCACTATTGAATACTTTATCAAGTCCGCTCTCTTCGACTCAAAAGCCTTGAAGAACAGCCATTTTTTTAAGCTACTGCTACTTTCAATATTTGATATAACCTGCAGAATTAAAATCACAGACAAATGAGCACAACAAATCTTTCACACAAACAAACAACGATTGTCTACATTGAATAACCTTATCGTAAAGACGATTTAACAAACGAGGAACTGAAGCGAAGAATGTAGGCCTAAAAAATTAATCACACATCATATTGTATGATTTACAGTGATCCACAACAAGTGAATGAATTTCAAGAGAATTACTTCAATAACTGGATGTCATCCAAAAGAAGTTTCACATCACCACGAAAGAACCCAGCTCGACCTCCAGCACAGCAAATAATCATCTACAAATGTCGACGGCGTAATACAAAAATCTGTAGCTTAAAAGTACAACTTACACCAGGAAGTAAAATATTTTTCAATTACCATAACAAGTCTCTCGTACATGTGAGGAAGCGGAAGATAGGATATGTGAACAAAGCTTGAATCCACTGGGTAGCCATTCTAAAGACGAAAGTATGAAGAAATTGAAACTAAAGAACACAGCAAAGATACTATCTTCATTTTACTAAACCTTCTCAAAATGTATAAAAGTTGCAGCGAGGCAGGATATCATGTTCTTGTTGCTCAACATCACTCCCTTTGGTTGCCCTAAAAATGAACGTCATAACCAAAGTTCAATATAGGTACCACTGGTGAAACTACACAAGAGAATTACCTGGGGGTACGACTCCTAAAATCAGGGGCGGATCAAAGATTCGCGGCAACCCTCTCCACCCCTCCCCCCAACTAACATATTTAAAAAAATACTCAAAAATAGAATTATTTACAAAAATGCTAATATTTACATACAATGTTTCAGCAAAAGCGCTTTAAACGAAATATATTTTCTACAATGATTTTTTTGCAATGAGGAATCGTTACGAACATATTGTTTCGGCTTTATTTCCTTCGAAAAAATGACTTTGCTTTTTGCAGGTGCTTTCATAGCCGCGTAGCTCCTGGCGATTGCAATTTACTCCCTACTTTCATCCGTCCCAAGGTAAAACTACACATAAATCTTATCTGTGGTACAACTTGTGAAACAAATTGTGTAAACATTGTCAGGTTTAGCAGGCTGAAATAATTACTCCCTACTTTCATCCGTCCCAAGGTAAAACTACACATAAATCTTACCTGTGGTACCACTTGTGAAACAAATTGTGTAAACATCGTCAGGTTTAGCAGGCTGAAATAATTACTCCCTACTTTCATCCGTCCCAAGGTAAAACTACACATAAATCTTACCCGTGGTACCACTTGTGAAACAAATTGTGTAAACATTGTACAGGTTTAGCTAGGCTGAAATAAATACTCTTATCCCACATTCCCAATAAACACACAAGGCTTACCCGCTGACCACCTGGATTCATGTGTAACATAGAAGGTTAAATGGGAGGGATCATTTGTTTCGTTAAAAGGAAATGACATCTTATGTGGTAACACTGAAACAAATTGTTAATCACGACCAATGTGCTTATGTTCTTTGTTCCGCCTTGTAAAGAACAGGTTATGTTAAATAATTCTGTCTATGTTCGTGAGAAACTCATTAGGAAAATCGTACTTTGTACAATAGAAAGGAACATTCTCCTTCGGTTAAACACGGATAGGATAAGATCAAAATCTGACAAAATATTGTCTATTCGAATATCTCATTGAAGTTATTAGATTCTGTGAAGGTAAAAGTACAATAAAGGTACCAAGTTAAGATATATTTTGATGAATTTCTTAAATTTCTAGTTTTTCTCTCTTTAAAACCTAAAGAATATAATCACACAACGGTTAATTGTCACTGTGATGTCCAACATGTCAATTTAAAATGACAAATTACTCCCTACTTTATGTTCATAAAATACAATAAAAGTTCTTTGGTCTCAATGGTTGTAAATTGTGTAAACATTCATGTTTAGCAGGCTAAATTATTGATGTAATGTCCCAAGGTAAAAAACATAAATCTTAGCCGTGCGTCCAAAGCGAATTGATGCGCACGCGTCAGTCGCTTAAACGCCAGAAACATACATGCAGTGACCATCGCGACTTTTACCGTTGCGTTTATTTAACATTTTATTTTGGCCTTTATTATAGCTACTAATACTTGAATATTTACTCAGTACAAACTACTATGTGGAGAAAAGAGAACAAGCCAGTGAAAACGCGCCGTTACGCGTATATCGTGGATAATCTTATTCTGTGAATTTAGGTTGTACATTAGGGTTCCAGTTTGTAGCTCCTATTGTCCCTATTCTATAAGTCATATAAAAACTGTAAGATTCCAATGGGAATTTCTATATATATTGCCCTCGTTTTCCACGGTATAATCTATAAATTTCGTATGATGTTTATAACAGGGGAATATGATATGCATTTAGGAAGTTAAAGTTTATTGGCCAATGAGTGTAAAGCGACTAAAGCGACCAATATCAAAAGTTCAACATGTTAAACTTTCAATGCGACTAGATGACGCCATTGAGTTCTATAATAACTGTAGCGGCTATCTCAAGCGCGGCTTTAATTAGCGGCTGACGCCAAAAAAATGGAGGATTTGTTCCATTACCGCTAAGATTTCCCGAAATTGACTGCTTTTCCGAAAATCTCGCAAGTTCTCTCTCCCCCCTTGAGAAAGAGTGAGGAAAAAGTATATGTGTTTTTCGCATATTTGGCAAGCAATTTTATGATGAAAATCACTCTAAAAACATAAAATTCATAAAAGCGAGTCTACTGTGGTTGCCAGTTGTCGGCTTCTACGACGGATGCCTTTTTTAACGAACGAGCTATTTGTTGGCCACATATGAATGCAGATGTTCGCGTCGTAACTGTCGTTCAATGATTTGCTCGATCAAAGTTTGCAGTCTGCACGAAACAAAATGTATCAAATTTTATCTACCACGGATCACGAGAGAAATGTTAGCTCATTTATACTCATTAGTTTTTTGCTTTCTTTCATGTGATGGCCTTTTTCGCAACAATTGTAGGATTTGTTTTTGTACATGCATCTCGCGTTTTGTAAATGAATAATGAAAAAGATATTGTATACAAATCATGAGAACCTTTGATATTTTTGTGGTCTTCTGAACAAGAACTGCATCAAATACTTGTTAAGTCGTAGCATATTTGATTTCGTGGTAATGATTGTGAAATGGCAAAAATGCAAATAATTAAAACACTTAAATTACAATAGTGTTTATAACACTTGAATACATGAATACACAATTGTGTATTGAAGACTTCTCTTCTTTTTCTCCTTTTTATGTGTTAGCCATGTGAGTTCAAAATTTGATTGACTAATACAGCTTTCACCTCAATAATAAATTTTATACCCATATTTAATACCAGTTGCTATGGGATTTTTCCCTCTAAGTATGCAACATCTGGTGTTGTTTATACAAGAATGATGAAGTGCATGTACACATGTAAAAATAAGGCAATAAAACCAAATGAATTAAACACATTTTGTGTTCTTTAATGCTAGAAGCTTAACAGCTTTTCAGAAATTATAGAGTTATTAAGCTGCACTACCTGTATTTCATTCATATTATGAAATGAATTAAGAAGCAGAAAACTGAAGAAAAACTTGGAAAAAAACAAAACATTTCCCTGGCTTAATGAAGGGGAAAATAAAGCAAATGGCAAATGTCCATTCTGTACTTTATTAGGTAAATGAGCTCAAAATATTTTTACAGCAAAAACTGAAATTAAAAAGAAATATATAGCACTGAAATTTTCATCACTGAATCTTTAATGCTTCAATATGGCATGCATTACATATAAGTAACATTCAAACAACCTTCTACTAAAATAATTTAATAAAGATGTGACATGATTTTACAATTTGTTGTAAAAAACACACTGCATGGATTGTACAGTTGCAGCAAGTCATCATCAATCTCAGTATCAATATTGACACAAGCACAAACTTTATGACCTTTTTACATGACATTTCATCAAGCATCAAGATTTACAAAACCTTGTCATCTTTATTTGGTACTTGAACTTTACTTTCAACGCATTCAAAGCATCTTTACTAAATCCATTATCTCCATCCACAGAATTAGTCCAAGTTTAAATAACTGTTGGACAGGGAAGTCTGTAAATCATTTACCTTTGTTTGTATTGAGCCTTATCATTTTGCAGTATACTCTGTCTGGTCAATAGCATTTCCAATTGTCTTAATATAGTGATCTATGAAATAGTGGTACTGCAGCATATTCCTGAAACATTTTGCTATCCGATGATCTCTTCATGTTGTCAGCAAATTGATCAGAACAAACTCTGCTCTACTTCATGAGTTCTCTTTGTGGAGATCGTTTCTTCATAGTATATGCCCACTGAGTAAAAAGAGCAGAATTTTCTTTTCGCGTCAAACATATTTACGGTCTCACACATTAACAAATAAGTGGAAAAATATGTTGATATCTAAAAAGAAAAACAGGAAAACATCAGTCGGATTTTATCGCTCGGGCTTCAAGTTCAATTGTTTTTCAATTTTTGATGAACAAACAAAACAAATATCTCACCTGTGAAAGCGACATATTCCTTTTTGTAGACACAACGATATCCAACTATTGAATGATTGAAGTGTTGGCATTTTAAAAGAAATGCAAAAAAGATATCGTGTTTGTTTTTAAAAAATGCTGTATAATTTGCTATAGACATCAGGGGAGGTCGAGAATATATTTTTTCTGCAAAGCGATCATTTCAGCGGAAGTAGGTCCATTGGCCGCCATTTTTTTGGCGTCAGGTCCCAGTCCACTTAGCCGCTCCAGTTATTAAAGAACTCAATGGATGACGCGACTACGCTACTGGCTTAGTAACCACGCAAAGCGGTAGTTTTAGACGCGCGACTAAAGCGACTGCCTAGTGTGTTTCAGCCTTAAGTCTATATAAAACAAAATAAAACAAATTCGGAAAACGGACATCTCGTTTTCTTGATATTCAAGATAATACAAGAGTTTGAAACAAAAGATGGTGTAAAAAGACTAATGATGTCTTTGGAATAAAGACGAAATATTACACCATTTTTGTTTCAAACTCTTGTATTATCTTGAATATCAAGAGAACGAGATGTCCGTTTTCGGAATTTGTTTTATTTGTATTACTTAAAATTGTCTGCTTGTCCTGGTTATTGTTAAGTCTATATTGTTAATGAAATGGCTTCCTTGAATGTTCACAGGTAAATTTAAACTTCACGACGGAGATGGTTATTCGTTATGGCATTTAAAGTTTATGGAGAAATAATTATTAATGAAGTTTGATGAAATGAAAAAATGTAAGTTGTCTTAATTTCAATTAATGCGTCGCAAATTTTTGAATTTCTCATAACTTATCGTTTTATCTAAGGGTAAATTAATAAAAATCAACTGTAATAACACATTTCCACCATCATTTGCTTATATAATATTATATTATGATGAACTTTGATCAAATTAAATGATCTTGTCCAGCAATAAAGTTTTACCCTTTCTTAATATGCCTCTGCATGAAGTACACACATACATTGTCCTTATCACGTGCTAGCTAATCTTCTTTTATAGTTAAGTGTCTCTCAATCATATGTATCACTATAGGGCAATTTATGTACACGTATTCCAATTTTCCCTCAATAATTAATGACGATCGTTATAGGGCAACGTTGTTAAATGACGATGAAAAACGATGGTGTGTTTATGGAATCATACTTAATCATGTTTTGATCCCAGCTGTTCGACCTTACCTGGAAAATAATATTTTAAACGAGTATGATGGACTAAAGCAATCTCATAATATTCATGTTCAAAAGATTCACAACTTTCCTTCACCAAAATATTCCCACGATCTACATTATAAAAATATCAACAATAATGAAACAAAGGATAAGAAGAAATTTAACTATGAAGTTAAGTCACATGTCGACTTTGGAAAACTTTTCCTTCAAAACCACATGGCAAAGTTTAACTTTTACAACAGTTGTGACGCATCAGCAGTGCTTAATTTACTAGAAAGGATCCCAATTTTTTCCAACCTGGTCCAGAATGCTGCAAAAATCGTTAGAGAAAATAGAATTTTTTGGAGTCACTGCAATTTTAAGGAATGGAACAAAACAGATTTTCAAAAGAAAATCGACAATATGAAGAAACTTATGAAGAAATTGAGTTTAGAAACTGAAGAAAAATTCATGGATGGTATATATAATTGGAAAGATCGAGGTATATTTATAATTATTATATCATTGTGTTGATTTTCTTGAATAATCTACAGTGTCGAGAATTGTGACTCCAAATTTGTAGTCCTTGGCTCGTCACAATCGATCAAAGTAAACCAAACAAAATCACGCAACTATAAAGTTTACAAGGATATATTAACTAGCAAAACTCTTTAAATAATAAGTACGTTCGTGACTGTATTGTACAATGGACTCCGTTTCCATCACATACGTCTCACAACTAACTCGCTTCTCTAACTCTCTCTCCACTATCACTCCCTACTCTTGACGTCATTACTGATGTCGCATCTTTGCTGCTACCGCTGCATCCCTTGTCGGTCGTGATATAAACGTTGCAGCCTTTGGGTTGGAGCACGACTGAGATTGAACCTCCACTCAATCGCCTTGTCCGCCAGAAATGCATTAAATTTCTCGTCCCTTCTCACCTTTCTCAACCAACTGTCTGCAGTCTTTGCGTTATTTGAATAAATGACATTAGGTCGACCCCGTCTTGCAATAAATTTTCTCGGACTCCCAATGAATTCGGTGAGTTCCATCAATCTTAACAGTTCGAGATATCTTGCTCATGTTAAGCTGCAACCGTAAACTACTAGGTACGCTATCTTCTCCGCTTTTGGCTTTGTCCGATAACGGATTGGACGTGCAAAGTCTACCCCAACGACATGAAACGGAGTTGTGCCTTAAGTTTTTGTCATTGGAAGGTTTCCTGGTGGTGGTTTTACACACGACTTTGCTCTGAATTTTACACACCCGTAGCAATTGTGTAGTACTTGCTTTACTAGTCTGCACAGCTTGGGGACCCAAAATTGCTCTCGCACCTTAGCCATAGTTATAATCATACCGCCATGAAGTGTGCTGAGATGTGCTCTCTCGACTACCTTTTCAGAGAACGTAGCGTTTCATGATAGAAAGACAGGATAACCTCCCTCAATCCGACCACGACATTCAAGGACTCCATGTCCATGAAGTTGAACGTTGAGCTCCAAACAATATCCTTCGAATTCAGGATTTTCTCTTACATCGTTTTGTGTTTTCTTGATCCACCAAACTTCACTCTTCTTGACTTCACTTGTCATTAAAGGACTCTTCTTTCGACAGTCCATGGAGCTGCTGCAGTTTTCTTTGAACCTGAGTATCCAAGCACATATTCTCAAGATCTTTCGGAGGTTAAACTTCTTTAACAATTTTATGAAACAGTGGTCGTTCTTGGTTGAAATTGATGTAGCCAATACGTGTGCACTTTTCATAGGCTTCATCTCCTGCTTGACTTCAATTGCACATTCAATTACTCGTTGTGGCGGCCACTTTAAAGGATCATTCAGCCACTCCGGACCGTTTTTCCAGAGTTTGTTTCCATTGACATTTTCAGCACAACTTCCCATGTTTGCCGGATTCAGTTTGGTGGGGGTACATAATGCCATTTTACACGAGCATGACTCTGTATTTTCGCAACACGGCTTGCAACAAATTGGCGATACTCCCCACAACCGTTGATCCAGTAAAGTGCTACTGTGCAATCCAACCAGCAACGGACATAGGTTACAATTCCCTCACCAATGGCAAACTTTACATTCGATAGCAAGTTAACGGTCATGTGTCCAGCAACCAATTCCAAGCGAGGTATTGACAGATCCCGTTTTGCCAACATGGATATTGCACATACCAATCCTTGGGTTATTTCATTCTCCTGCTCAAAAACTGCATATAGTGCTGCTGACACCGGACTTTGCTTACATCGCCAAAGGCATGAAGGGTGACGGCAGACACAGTTTGTTTATGCGGAGCTAAAGGTTGGGGAAGTTCGCAACTAGGTGGAAGTCCCGAATACCAATCATCTTAGCGTTTTTGTATGATATCGATAATTCACCATCCCATGAGCAACGAGCTTCGCATATTTCTCGAAAAATTATCTTGCCCATCAATGTCATTGGTGATACCCAACCAAGAGGGTCGTATATTTTTGCAAGTTGTGATAATGCACGTCTTCCTGAGCAGACGGTTTCTTTGATTGCCGTTTGCACGCTATGAGTGTTTATATCTTTATCCCATTGAGGTCCCAATAGTTTAGCGAATGACTTCTCGTGTTGCTGGTCCAGTTTCGTTGACGTCATCTCTTTGCCTTCAGCCTTTGGTGCAGTTTCTAGCACGGCCTCATTTGAATGCCATTTGTGCAACTTGAAAGTGGCGTCTTCGAAGATCTCTATAGCTTGACTCCTTCTCATCAACTTCTGAAACAGTCACCCCACACATCATTACATCGTCAACGTAGAGATTTTTACGTATTTCTTCCACAAGGTTTGGGTTTGTTCCTTCCCAGGACTTTAGATGTTCTATCAAATCACCATTGAGTAAAAAAGGAGAACATGTCAGACAAAACAGCGCCCTAGTGAACCGATACGTCTCCACGTCGTTGCTTCCAGGTGACTTCCAGTGAAATCTGTCTGATTTTGACTTAGAGAGACGCCTTTTCCAGGTCACTAGTAAGCAGAACTGGAGAGAATCGTGATCGAACGAGAATTGACCAGATAAGGTTCTGAAGGCAGTGGCCAGGATTCAGGCAGTCATTGAGAGATGGGGAAATTCGTGGTTCACTGGCCGAGGCATCGTACACAATACGCAGCTAAGTTGTCTCAACTGTGTCCTTCTTCACTTCTTTGTGTGGTATGTAGAACTTCTTTCCAATCACCTTTTGTGGTGCCTTTTCAATCACTCCGTTCTCAAGCTGTTGTAGAATGATGTCGTCATAGTCTTGGTACCGATTGCTTGTCTTAAGCCTTTTCACCAAGTTTTCCAAACGTCGACGATATAAAAGTTTTGCCGTAAAAGATGAAAGATTTGTAGTTGGTAAAATAGTTTTACTGCAAGAAGAAACTTTGCCGTGACACTTGTGGGCCACCGTAACTATATCATACAGCTCTACTTTTGCATTGTGTGATGTGAGAAGGATATCGATCTGTTAGTTTTTAATGTCACATGGTTTAATGTTAGATGATTGATTAATTGAACCGAGGCATAAGAGCTCTCGGCGCCAGTGTCTATCAACGCGCGGCATGTGATCCCATTTACCTTCACCTCAACAACAGGAATTATGCTCTCGGCGCTGTCATAATCCGTCATTAACTTCTTATCGCCGGATGCCATGTTATCAGCTTTGCATTCCGCTTGCTCGCAAATGGAAGAGTAATGACGTTGACGTCACAGTGATTGCACGCATTCTTACTTGGACATTCCAACGCACGATGTTCTACGGTAGTTTTCTTCACGTTCAGAATTGTTTGTTACAGGATTTCTTCTTACCCACTGATTTACAGCATCAGTTAATTTTATAAAATCCAAAGATTCCCATAGAGTCACGGTAAATTGGTAATTCTAAAATTTCTTTCACAAAACGTTTGTCTATTTCAGATTCTTTGCCATATTTATCGTTTAGAATGACCTTTGCTCGATTATAGCCCTCGGGGGTGAAAGGGAGGGACTCGGCTCGTTGCCTAACATTTGGTTCTAGCAGATAAGTGAACTTTGTTATGGGCGTTAAGGAGCTTTTATCGATTGCTTCGGAAAATTTTCCCCAGAATTTTGGCCAGTCAGTGAAGGAAACACCGAATTTTGCTATAACTAATTTTGGCAATTTAGCACTCGTTGAAGAAAAGGTTCTACATTCCTTAACTTCCGTTCTGGGTTTAGATACTGTAGTAAGTTCAGCTTGCATTTTTAGTCTTGTTTCATGCAGCAATTTTTTGAGTTTTAACTCTTCTTCGTGTAAAACAAGCTTTTCTGCTCGTGTTGCTTCTGTGAGAAATTTTTCGAATTGTTGAATAGCCGCGTCAGCATCATCAAATTTAATGTCAAGCACACAGGGGTGGCGCCAGGAGTTCCCCGACGGAGGGGCTAAGGTCCCGGACGGGGGGCTGAATACTAGGCTGATGTGACAATACGCTTTCCATACAAATCTTTTTTACAGACAAAATTTTCAAAAATTGTTATCAATCCTCGCTTTGACTAAATGGTGGTAACATATAGTTTACTTTGGAAATAATAATTTACATTTAACTGAAAAATTAACTCTACGTATTTGACTAGTTGTAAGAGCCGCAACTAGAACGTTAATTTGGGGGATGGGTTGTTTTTATATGTATTCTGTTGTGCCCAAATGATTCTTTTAAAAGAAAGTTAATTTTAAAAGAAGTCAGTCTGACACAACTGAATGTATGAACATCCCCACCAGTCACCGTTGTACTAACAGCCCTGCTAGTCATGCATGCAATCCAGGGATATACATATGATTAACGATCACAAAGCTATACAGTAAGTAAAAAGAATGCCCTGGGTTTTCTAGTTATGTTGGATAGTAATAATCCAATGATAATTACCTCCATCAAAGCTTTATAAACATAATCAAGATCTTCTTTAACTTATACAAAGCTGTAATCAAAGTAAGACGAGGATCCATTAGTTATTACATATACTATTATTTTTTTCTTGTTTAACTTAAATCTTATATTTTGCCACTTTATCTTAATGTTAACCTGTTAAACTTTTTTGCTGGTGAGCAGTTGTTTGTGACTGCATGTATATAATGAATCAGTGATGTACTATAAGAAATAATTTATAAACTTAAGAAGCAATAATAATGCACAAGAAAGATATAACTTCGGTGAATCATTCGATATCTTTGTTTCATGTTCAAAGAACAATTCTACACTTGGAAAACCTAGTGTTGAACTTGTTCACTTCGGTAACCAAATCCAGTTTGCTCCACCGACCACAATGAATTTTAAACATCATTAGCTCTCCAGACACTTGATGGTGATTTATCAAAGACAACAGCCGCAATACATGTAAAACTGGCAAAATCTGAGGCTCATTGCTGATTTGAAACTCAAACAGCAGAGCTTTTTTGTATTTTTTACAAAATAACTGCCTTTCAAAATTCGAAAGTCAAGTTGCCAAAAAACAACCGACAGAAAAACTAATAGCGAGCAAGCGTCGTTGGAATTGCATATGCAAATATATCTCATGTGGCATTTGCATCTGTTCTCTAATGAAAATTCAGAAATATGTATTTCAGAGTAACTTTATTATTTGATGTCGGGTAGCTGGCGTAAGTGAAGATTATTGCCGATGCTGAGTGCCCAATAAATTTAAGCGATCGGCAATAATCGGCATTGGAAATTACATTTTTTGTTATCCATTCGCCGGCAAATCGTCAAATTTTCCCCGACGGGGATGGCTTGGATTTCCCGAAATTTTGAATTTAAATTTATTTTCCATCATTACCATTTTAAATTTGTTTTACAGCTTTGACATTGAGGACAAACGACCATGCTTCACGCGAAGAATTAAAAGAACACATTAACAGTCTTTTAAATAAAATAACTAAGGTAATAAAATTCAAAAATGAAGCTTGCAAAAAAGTATTGCGAGAGACGCTTAACAAGTTTTCACATTTCATGAAAAAAATTTTGCAGATTAAAAGAAGTGTAGATGAAGTTGAAGATAAACTGAAAGAAATAAACGAAAAAGTTGATGAACTTGAAGATAAACAAAAAGAAATAAACGAAAAAGTTGATGAACTTGAAGATAAACAAAAAGAAATAAACGAAAAAGTTGATGAACTTGAAGATAAACAAAAAGAAATAAACGAAAAAGTTGATGAACTTGAAGATAAACAAAAAGAAATAAACGAAAAAGTTGATGAACTTGAAGATAAACAAAAAGAAACAAACGAAAAAGTTGATGAACTTCAAAATAAACAAAAAGAAACAAACGAAAAAGTTGATGAAAATGAAAAAAAACAAAACGAACCAAACGACATATTTCAGCATTATTTACACTTAACGATTGAACAGCTACAACTAATGATAAAACTTAAAAGTTTCGCTGCAACAAACCAGCCTCTAAATGAACAAAATGACATACAATACAAATTAATTCAAGAACTATTGAAGCAACTTCAAGGATCGACTGCAATAAACCAGCTTCACCCAAGAACAAAACATGGTATGAAGCTTTGTCTAAATACAATAAATAAAATGTTGTTAAAGTTTTTTTAGTGCAGATAAATTTTAGCTAAATGCATTGCATTATTATAATTATTATATGATCGAGTCCCTTCCAAGAAAATACAAAAACATGGGGTGTGATAAAATAGCGGAAGTAGAAAAACAAAGGTGATATACATCTTATGGAGATGATGTAATATCTTATAGAGATCAGTGATTGCCAAGTAGTGGTAGGTAAAAATGTAGTCAGACAGCACAGAATGATTTGTGGTGGGTGGGATAGCTATAGTTATATAGTTATAGTTATAGTTATAGTTATAGTTATAGTTATAGTTATAGTTATATAACTATAGTTATAGTTATAGTTATAGTTATATAGTTATAGTTATAGTTATAGTTATAGTTATAGTTATAGTTATATAACTATAGTTATAGTTATAGTTATAGTTATAGTTATAGTTATAGTTATATAACTATAGTTATAGTTATAGTTATATACTTATATAGTTATATGGTTATAGTTATAGTTATAGTTATAGTTAAAGTTATAGTTATAGTTATATAGTTATATAGTTATAGTTATATAGTTATATAGTTATATAGTTATAGTTATATAGTTATATAGTTATATAGTTATATAGTTATAGTTATATAGTTATATAGTTATAGATATAGTTATAGTTATAGTTATATAGTTATATAGTTATATAGTTATAGTTATAGTTATAGAGTTATAGTTATAGTTATAATGGTGACGAAGATGTACATGACAAAGGTAGTACTGACAATAAAATGGTGGAGTTTGAAAAAGGAAGAGAGCTGTAGGCTGCTAATTCAGCAGAGTTGAGACAGACACTAGAAGGTCAAGATAAGCTTTTCATTGAGAGAAAAGTAGATAAGGAGACTTAATGATGGAATAAAGAACTGCCTGCTTGTAATACTTTGCAACACTTTGCGCTTTAAGACAAGAGATGACTTGTCAATTTTGAATGTGATCTATACCCGTCAATGGGTTTTCACGGTTTGAATGCATGGTACAAACGAATATAAAAGAATCCTTAATGTTTCTCGCAAAATCGTTTATTAGGCGATTAATTTTATCAAGAAAAATATTTTAAAACCAAAAATCCTCAAAAGTGAGAAAATCCCATAGTTATAATATAGCTACAAATTCAACTCGAGATGTCGGGATAGTTAAATTTGCGAAATTGGAAACTTTTTAAGGCTGATTACGAACATGCGCAGTACGTAGTTTATGTACAATCTTAGCGAGGTGACATTTACCTTGCCGTGCATTGTAAGAACATAAGTCATTCTTACACGTTATAAGGAACTCTAGGTCGAGTTTGGCTTTTCCAAGCTAGAGTTCAAGACGCGGGATTTTCCCATTAGTCATTCTTCTGTATTTGATTGTTTTTATGTCATTTTCAGAATCGCAGTTACAAGAGTGGAAATACTTGGGTGAATCAACAAAACATAAAAACCTTTTGTTAAAATTGTGTGTTCACAAAGACGAGATTAAACTTTTGGGCGATGTACGTGTAATTTTCTCAAATGAGTTCTGCATCGGCGAAGGAAGTAACGGCACTCGTGTTTATCTTGGACTGAGAAAGGATGGTTACGGTAAGGCAGTGAAACGAATAATTCGGGATAACTCGATCACGTATGCACATCAAGAAAAGAAAATTTTAAATCAATCCAACGTAAAGAAGTCAAAATATATCGTAAATTATTCCTACTTTCCAGAGGATACAGGAACGGACTTTGTTTACTTAATATTAGACTTATGCGAGGAATCATTGCAGAGTTTTGTCAAGTTTACTGAATCAGATGATCTTCAAAAAGTTCTCCCTAAGATTCTCAGAGAAATTTTACAAGGATTAGCTGATCTTCATAGCGGCGAAAGTCCTATACTTCATAGGGATTTGAAGCCTTCCAATATTCTCCGTGACTCAAACAGCAATTTTATGTTAGCTGATTTTGGCATTAGTCGAATATTGGAGCCTGGCGCCAAAACATTTACAAGCCTTGCTAACGTGGGAACTGAGTACTGGATTGCTCCAGAATCATATAATGAAGACGAAGAGTCAGTTGATAAAGCACGCTACAAAAAAGAATCTGATGTATATGTAGGTGTAGAAATGATACCATTTTGAAATTATATATAAATTCACTTTTGTGACATATTGTTCTCTATCATTTTAGAATGCGGGAATGGTGGCTTATTATGTTGCAACAAAAGGGAGACATCCTTTTGGAACTAGAGGGTTTAGATTGCGCAATATGCTGATTGGAAACCCTGTTGGCTTGGACGAAATCAAAGATGAAGCACTGAAAGATCTTCTGTCGTGGATGTTAAAGCGACAACCAGAAGATAGGCCATCAGCCTACAAGGCATTAAAACACCCATTTCTTATGTCAGACGACGAGAAATTTGACTTATTATGTAAAGTTGGAAACCTAGAGCCGATTGACGGAAACGATCCCAACTCAAATGCCGTTCAACAATTGAATAGCGATTCCTCAGTTTGGAAAAGTCAAATGGATGATGATGTGTATAATTATTTTACAACGAACGTTACGAATGGAAAGATTCTTCATTATGGATCTTCTTGGACAAAATGCTTAAGACTTATTCGATATGTTGGCCAACATTGGTACAATCTTACATGGTCAAGACCACAACCAGAACCATTTTATAAGATTGGCGATCACAAGAACTATTTTCTCAAAACATTCCCCAATCTCCCTGTTCGGGTGCACGCAGCTGTCAGGTCAGATGATGAATTGAAAAACAATCCAGAACTCAAGAACATTTTCAACTTTAATCCTTCATAGATGTAAAGTGAAAAACCTTTTTACAACCAACTTGGATAATACGTAACCCCATTAACTGATATAACGTAATTAATTAATTTCACCTAAAATGACAGTGAGATTTTACAATCCAAAGTAAAGGATGAAAAATCACGTGGTCAGTACTGATGTACAAAATTGTTAACTTGCTCAAATATTCTTACTTTCGTGAATAAAGGAAAATGTGAAATCTTAAATTTAATAAATTTGAAGGTCAAAGGCTGTATCGTTATGATGTGAAAAGATTGGTTGGACTTTCTTTTCTTAACGAAAAACCGATATGAATAAAATCTTGTTTTCAAACTATTTTTCAATGTGGAATCAAAACATAGATCGTTTTGAAAGGCAGAGTATCCAAGAAAAATTTATTAAATGATTTCTTAAGCATATATCTTTCGAAAGTTTAACAAACATTATAACTGAGGTTGTTCATATAGCCAGCTTAATGACTGAGAGAGCATACTCATAAAATTAAAGTTTTTCTGCTGGTTAAAATGCGCAAATGTTAGCGGATGTTGAATTGTATAGATTATTAGATATGTGTCCCCCGTTGAAAAGATATCTTCCCTAACTGTTGATGACTACCGTCAAGGACGACACCTGTCGTTGATACTTTTTTCTTTTATTTTTTTGCGCTTTTTAATTTCAGAAAACTATAGCAAAATAAGAACTAGCTTTCATTCACTTTTTAAGAATTTATGGTAATGCGTAGAAAATTGTTTTTAGATGATTGTTGAGAGTTGAGAACAAGTTTATTATTTGTGGTTCTATTTCAGAAAAGCATAATGAAAAAAGTACCTTTTACACTTTTTAACAATTTATAGCAATGTTTAGAAAATCGTTTTGAGACAATTATTGATGATATTGATGTTAATGAGTCATTTCGTTCGGAGAACCCTTGGACATTAAGTCAAAAAATAATCTTATTCAAATCAAATATCACCCACTACGACTTAACCCACCCGTCGTATTGAAAAAAGTCATCTTAACGACAATCTTTAACATCAAATTAATCAGTGAACATTGCTATAAATGTAATCATTTACTTGTTGATATAATTCTAGATATTTGTAGTATAAATAAACAATACTATAAGAACCATGTTTATATGAAAGGTGAGACAGAACTTGACGGAGTCTTTGTCACTTACCAAACAACAGTTGGGATCCTACCAAAGACGAAATGTTTTTCGACACGTAAATCATTCTTTATTTCAGACAAAAAAATATGAAAACCTGATATTACATGAGACTTGTCTTCAAACAGAAAATTATCAAATATTGCTACCCTACCCCTACAAAAATAAATAAAACGTTTCGTTTAAACAAGCCTCGGGTTTCGTCTCTCCATTAATAAACAGACCTTAATTTAGAAATTGTAGATGTCAGTTAAGATAAAAATGTTGTTGTAAGTAAAAGTAATCCAAACATTAACTGGTCATAAATTACATTATTTTTATGATGTTTGCATAAAGTTCATCTAAATGACTGGAACTTTTATAGCAACAAGTGTTTAGCCATGTAATAATCTTTTAGCATTTTGTAGACAATTTATTTAGTGGATTAAGAAGGATATTAAATAAAGTATCAACCTCAAATCTACTGGAAATAATGTTTTCTTTTTATTTTGTATTTATCAAATAAATATATTTTCAACATAAGCACCTCAAGATTTGCAATGTTCCTAGAAATTGCTTTAGTAGTAAAAATTGCTACTTAAAGTGCATAACATGAATAATATTGCAAGTCATCGTACATTTTTAGTTCGACAATATTTAGGTCCAGTGGCGGATCTATGGATGGTCAGGATACATTACAATCTATTTCCATTTTAAAATACTCTGGAGCGAATCCTATTGGGATTATTTTAGTCTTAAATATTCTTTATAAACTTTTAATGTTGTTAAAAAAGTCTTTTGAATTTAAAATGAGCTTCTATCATTTATTTTGAACTACCCTCGATGCAACACGGTCTAGGTCTTAATCAATTTAATCTTTCCTAAACCTAGTTCCATGCTTCCAAAGTATCACTATGCATTTATCAGGGACCGAGGGGGACTGTGCAGTTATATCCCCTCCCCAAATAATTTTGCTTCCATTTTGAATTTTGTAGCCACATCCCCTACTAGCAAACAACTTTCTAGAATTCAGTGGTCAATAACCATACCACCTCCATTAAAGAATATGCTCCGCAGTCGCTCTTTATTCGTTATATTATTTGTATTTTATATAATTTGACGTTAAAATTCTATTTTAAGAGCAACAAGTTTTTAAACCCTTGTCTTCAATGTATTTTTACCCTGAAGAATTAAGCGATCAAACTAAACTATAAACGAGCTAAAACAGCCATGAGCCTTAAAGTTTCGGCTTAGCTGGAATCTTCTCCAATTTTTCATACAAAAGATCAATTTCATCATTAAATCTTTTCGCTAACGTAAATCGTTTGGATTTAAGTGTTGCAGTAAGTAATCCATTATCTGGAGTGAATAATTGCGAATGAAGATGAATTCCTTTGACCTGAAATAATGACAGAAATAAGATGAGGTGAAATAAAACTACAGAAGAAAATTATCGAGTAAAAACCTGTTCAAACGACGCCAACTTTGCTTCCTTTCCTCTGGAGATGATGTCATTCAGAATCATGTCATTGACAGCCTGAAGTTTGAAGTAATAGAAAGTACAAGCGTTTGAATGCAATGAAAAACATGTGGAATTTCTATGTTAATGTAGTACCGTATCCTGACATAATTCCTCAAAACATTTGTTTATGTTATTGTCTTTAGCCCATTTTGTAAGAATTTCTTCATCAGGAACAATAATTCCAACAAGAAATGACTAAATATTGGAAAGATTACATTATGCTAGATTGCAAACAAGAAATCATTAATTTATTCTTATTTTTATCAAAAAAAATCAAAGCCAAATATTTTTAGCGAATAAATATTCCAAATAAATGCCAGAATATTTTCATCAATTTTTAATGAAAAAACACGTTTCCTGACGGGCAAATCAAGCGCAATGTTTTATTTCAAATCTCAACCCATAAAAAAGTTAGTGAATTGAGACGAATTTTTATCTCAGCAGTAAGCAAAAGATATCGTAATTTTAAAATTACAAATCCAAATCTCAAAAATTAAGAATCAAATCAAAATTTCAAGCAAAAGTTCACAGCCATGCTCAACAACTCGCCCCAGTACCTTAAGACTAGAACCGTGTACAAAAGCTTGAGCGACGAAAGGACATTTGATGTAAACATTTTCAATTTTATCAGGAGAAATATATTCGCCCTAAAAGACACAATCACAAATAAGATAAATAAAAAAACAACAAAATATATTATGGTTGCTATCATTTAGGTTTTATAAACCTGCGACAGCTTGAAAATACATTTTTTTCGACCAATTATTTTAAGCGTTCCATTCTATAAAACAAAAACAGAAACATTATGAGCACCTCACCACATACTTAATCATTAAGTAAAAGATAATGTACACTATATTTACATGAAAGTACGATAATACAAAAAAATTGTTCATGATGACAAAATATTTTTCCTATCGTTTCCTTCTTAGAGAAATAAAATTAATATTAATATATGATAATAATTATAATAAATTTCTTGCAAAGGAACTTGCTTCGTATTTGGTGTAAAAATTCTTGAAGTCAAATGTCTGTTTTTTAGTTATCATCTTCCTGAATTCGCTTACAGATAATGTCTTAGCAAAAATTAACAACCAGTTAACGTCATTTTTCCCACATTAATTTCGATAACAACAAAAAAACATTATTTTACATCCTTTGCTACTATGTAACCTCAACTGACCTGTTTCCATTCTCCTACATCACCTGTATGCAACCAACCATCATCATCTAACATTTCAGATGTTTTGTCAGGATTTTTAAGATATCCCTTGAAGACATTTGGACCATAGACACATATCTTAAAAACAAAAATCATTCTTTCAATGCACAATCGTAACATAACATTAGCAAAGTAGAAAATAAAAAACAAGATTCGTTACTTCGCCTTGATTGTTTGAAGTAAAATAGTTCATTTCTGGTACATCAACAAGTTTCACATAGTTACAGGCACTAGGTGATCCAACGTGACCTATAGGTACATACATGGATAAAATATAGTCACCTGTTGGTATAGACATGGATAAGATAGGGTCACTTATAAGTACACAGATGGATAAAATATGTTGAAAAATTCCTAGTGAGTTATTCACTCTATATTGTGTAAAATACTTAGGAAAACATTGTACCATTATTAATTAGAAATGATTACAAAAACCTGGGCATGACTATAATAATAGCGCTATCAACTGCGGGGCCTGGTACCTACGTAGATAATATGAATGGGGTTTATAGGTAATTGCGACAGTCTAACAATAGAGATGAACATTAAGTGTTCGCTTTTTAGCTCATTTTCTACGATATTATAGTTCATTGTACATAAATAAAAGATGACAAAACACTTTAAATCAACTATTCAGACCCAGGCCCTAGACAACCTTACTTAGGTCTTAATGTCTTAATATTGACTTTCTCAACGTTTACAATATTACATTTTAAATGAAGTACCGCAGAAGTGTTCATACGGAAATACGTAATACCTGGTGAAAGATCTAGTTTATTTGTCAGAGAAACAAGTGCTGTAGACTCAGTTTGACCATAACCTTCAAAAATCTTAATACAAAGAGAAATAAAATGTAAAGAGGGAACACAGTTGAAACGTGATGTCATAAATATATACGAACCAAACATCCAAGAACGACTCTTAAAAACTCTAAAACTTTACCATCAATAGGAGCAGCACCTGTGAGAATGACATTTAAATTTCCACCTAAAATTGCCTGTAAAGAAGAAAGTTCTCAGTTAGTTTCAATACCAGTCCCCCGAAAGAATGACAGCGAGTTCCAGGTGCAGCGAAATGTAATTTACAATTCATTGGCCAGGTGAGAGTAAAACAATTAGCGGGAAATATAAGGAAAATCACTGATCTCAATATATTTGAAACATGATAAAAGCTTTTTTAATGAAAGGAATGAAGTGCTTTACGAGTATAAAAATGTTGACGTAATGGGGCCTCATCGGTGACGTAACGGGCTCTTACCTGTGACGAAGCAAGCCTCCACCAGTTAAGTAAACGGCCCTCACTGATGACGTTTCATCATCCATGGTTTAAGGGGAAATGCATCATCAGCAGTGAATAAATATGGGCAAACTTCTGTTGGCTTATGTGGAAGGGGATCTGCAAATGGTAACTTTAAACTGCCATCTTCAATGGCTCTTCCAAATTTAGACTCACCAAAAACACCTCCATCACTATTTCTGCCTGAGCTGTCAATTTCCACCAGAGTGAACAAGTACCTAGCATCACAAACTGCCAACAGAACAATGCTATGTGTTCCTACATGGAAATATAAAATTGTTAAAAAATCATACTTGCTTAATCACAATATTCCCAAACATGCAGTTTTACTTGACTTGTCCAACATGTAAGCAGTAAATTTACAATGTATATCGTTATCTAAGAACTCTTATTTAACTTTATAGATAAAAAATGACGAACCAGCACGAGGGGGACATTGCATGACTACATGTTTGCTTTCAATGGCTCCGCAACACTTTGAGAAGTTCAACAGCTGCCAAAAATCTGTTGCGATTTTTTTCCATTCGCTTGTTGTCGAGGGAGGCTTGATAAACGGTTGCAACGCAGACCACAAAGCTTCGGAAGACTCCTCTACCATTTTGGTCAAAGTAGCATGGCCAAATCGAAAACTGAAGGCTATGCTTTGTTGAGAGTCGCCTGGTGATAAAAAGCGAAGAGTAACAGCGAGGCGTTCTTCAGAACTCATAGGCTCGCGGTATAAAGAATTCTTTTTCAAGTATGGCCCAACCAGACCAAGAAGTAAATCAAACCGCGAAGGGGTCATCCGAAAGTATTGATAAAATGATTCAGGATCATTTAACCGCATTTCTTGAATGAGGCGATGGTATTCCCCCAAGTTCTTTTCGTCGCTTTAAAATATCTTTAATCCAAAACCTTTTTTTGTATTTATTCCTTCGTTTTCCTCTTTGTCGAAGCAAAAGTAGAATTGCTAATTTTCGCTCCTCTTTCGACGCCATTTTGAATTGCAGCACGCATTAAATTTATGCACAACGCAAAACGCAGCACTGGAGATTAGAAATCCCCGTGCGTTTTTATCTATGGATGTACGCACGAAATAAAACGCAACAGTGGAAAGCAGCCTCAAGACTTGTTCCATCCTGCTCATATTTACGCACGTTGTACCAGTGTACCAGATGATACTGAGGGCCAAAGTTTGTCGTTCTGGAAATCTTTGTTTGAACTGACTGCGGGTTTTTTGTAAGCTACCGGTTTCAAAAAACGTTTTCACAAAAAATGTGCCTTCTGCCATTCTTAATTGGAGCCACTGCGTTTGTAAAGTATGCGATACAAGAAGTTAAATTTGCATTAAGTCTGCAGTGATGATTAGCATTTAAAAGCCTTATGGGAGTAAATTTGAAAAAAAAATGGAATTCCCACTGGCGGAAAATTGTGATTTTTATGAACTTTATTTGTAAAGAAATACTGCTTCATTTCACAACTGAAAGATTGGTACAACATGTCTTTTGAAAGGTAAATAAATAGACTTAACAAAGGTGCAAAAACCAAATATATACTTTTTCAAATATATTCTGTGTTATTGAACCTTAAATTTGAATCGGAATTTTTTGAAACACCCAGTAGATAATGCTAAGATCTACAAAATATAAGTTCGCATCAATAAATTAACTATAAATTCAGCTGATTAAGTTATCATTTATTAACCTCGTGGTTTTTAAGACAACCTTCCCTTAGAGTTTGAAGGACCAGGGTTTAACTGAGTGTCTCCAATATAAGGGCGTTGGCATTTCAATTGTCAGGGGGAACAAAATTTTAAAAACTATCCCCACAAAATTTAAAAATTCCGGCTTCAGTTCTGGCATTGAAGATGAAGATCTTATCGTAATTTCTAGCATGAAATATTGAAAACTTATGTTGTCATACACGACAATTCACGCAAAACACATTTTTTAAGAATTTCAAATTTTAGAGTTATTGCTAACTGAATTTGGGATCAAGTTTAGAATTAAACTAGCAAAGATTTCACACGTTTCTCTTAACTTTTAGCAACATTTGGGTTTCGATAATGAACAATCGTAAATATAGCCAATAAGGGGCTGTTTACATGATCTTGGCTAACCGAGTGAGGCGTAAAATCATTTCGACGCATTGAAAAGAGTCGAAACTTCAAGCGTAAAAATTACAACTGTTTGTTAAGCGCCGCAAGCAATGCCTGTTGTAATCCCGAATAAGGCCAAATTTGTTGTTCGATTTTGAATGCTATGCGTGTAGTTATTAAATCAGAATAATGTGAAAATGCTAAAAAGCATTCATCTGATGATAAGTATTGAAACTTTTCCATTTGCCAAAATCATTTAACGCTTGGATGAATCCCGGCTACCCCTAAATTTTCTCGTATTTTAACTGAACATCTGTATTTATATATATATGTATAATTAACTGGCAACTTGTAAATATGTCATTCTTTCTGATGATGGTTTTTAAATAAAACAGAAATATTGCAGCGTAATTGTTAGTTTTAAAACTTTGAGGTTACATTATGAGTTACACTTGGTTACACTATTTGAGGTTACAAGATGCCCTTTTATGGAATATGCTTATTTTAAACTTTTTGGTTCCTATGAGTTTTATATGTCTCTTTCGACCATTTTATCATATATATAGTTGTCCAAACTCGTAGGATCCATATTCAAGTCATTTATGTCTTAAGAGTTGCAGCAGCTAGGACCAACATATTTAGTGTTTGTTATCGATAAAAAACTAAAAAAAGGCCCAGGTTTTAGCCATACTAACTTTTTCGTCCTCTTTTTGCTTATGGACAGACCTTTTGTGTTCACTATTCAATAAAAACACGATTCAATTAGCAAAATTTTACATTTTGTGGCAACTTATTAAAGTGCCATAGTCACGTTTGCTGCTGTGGAGGTTTCAAATTGACGTACGTTTCTAAGGAGGAAACAAATGTTTCCGCATTCAATTAATTGGCTCAGCTATCAACCAATCAACGCAGGCGTTTTACTGCTTTTATTTTATATAATGCAAATTAAAGTTGTCAGTTGTCATTCGGGGAAGAAAAGAATACGAACTTGATTTATTTCTTCCACTATTATATTAAAGTGAAATGAAGAAGGAGTGTTTCGAGGAGAACACAATGAAAACTAAGATGGAAACCATTTTCACGTAATTTATTATTATAGAATATAAGATTGCTAGTTGAATTTACAGGCTTGCATTAGCTAGTTCTTGTGGAAACGACCGCATGTAGAGCTACTGTCATTACGAATAATTTATGTTTGTAAAAGTTTTATCGTGACTTGACATTCTTCACTTGCAGACTATTTAAGTTTTATACGATATGCTAATAAGATTTAGCTATGTCAAGGAAATGCTAAATACAAATGAGAGGACATAATTTCGGAGAGTTTAGATCAAATAAGTGAACTACAAATGTAAAAACAGCTGTCCATTTACTGAAATCCACTGTTTTTAATTAAAAATTTTTCTTGCTTGGTAGCAACAGTTGCTAGTAGCATAACTAATTATTTTCCAACCAATAAGATTCGTTCAATTTCATTAACATCCTTCTATCTTAGATAGCAACCTGCAGTGTTTGACTGCGACTCTACGTCTGCTATGATAAGGAGCTTCACAAATTCTAGCATCATTTTTCTCTAGACTTTTTACGGAATATTGACAAATTTCTGATTTGAGCAAGTTCTTCACTCCTCTCGACACAGGTACGTCTGATTTACACGAATTTTGCCATATATAAGTAGACACGTTTGTTCAAAGAACAAATTTTTTTAATTGTTTGGTTTCTGATGTCTGATAAAATGACTAACAAAGCGTTCAAAAATATACTGGCGATATTGCCAAAGTGATTCTTGTTGCTCTTATGATAGCTACTAAGTTCGTCTATTCTCACAGGATAAGATTCGTACCGTTTTAAATGTCACTATTTTCAGACATGGGATTTCTAGAGAAAAACTGCTGTGATGTGAGTCATAACAGGTCCCTGTTAGTGTTATATATTTTCTATTAACCGAAACTTGTACTTAACCCTCTAAAGGCCATATGTAGTGAAATGCATCATAATATAACTACTCCATGCGGTCTGCGTTAAAGAACTCGAGATTGACAAACTTTTAGGCTGACACACATAATGTGTGTAGCATCGTGTTGTGACTCTTGGGGCCAGATGTTTTTTCAATTAAGTTTCGTTTCATGATTATTGCTCGCGAGAAGGCAATGGCCACTAACAGGTTGGATTGTTCGCCATGGCGGTTGCTAAATGAAAAATGCAGACATGCGAACAAATAGAGAAAAGGGAAGCTGTAAAGCAGCACATTTGTTTTTATGTAAAGGAAGTTTCTTGTTTGGTTCATTTTCAATCTTTTACTTTGTTCCTTATTCGCTGATATATGTGCTTTAATTCCCCTAGTTATTACTGTATTGTAAGTCTACATTATTTAATCAATCTTAGCACAAATCTTCGAATAAAACACTTCAAGTTATTGTAACATAAAACAATAAAAAAATGGCTGGCAGAAGTTTTAGCTAAGTAAAAGACCGATTTTATGAAGCAATTTCAGCCCGGGCTAAGTTTCAGCCCAGGCCCGTTATAGTATCCTATCAAAATAGCGTACGCGATTACATGAGAACAATTCTATGTAATGTACCAGATGCATCGCTAGATCCGTTACTGGTATCTATCACGTTGTAGTTAGGACGGATTATAGCAAGTTCATTTATTTAAGTCAATGACCCTTTTTCCTCTCGGTTCCTTCTGAGTCAATTTTTTGAAAAATTGACTGTACAGCATGTTTAGGAACTTATGTGTGTACACTTGTGTTTAACTAAAGTTTATGCAAAACGGAAAAAGATCCTTTTAAACAAATAAGTGCGTCAACCAACTTTCTAACTTAACTCTCATGGTCATCATAGTTGTAGTCAATAATTTGCGTTTTTCGCTCAAAACTGGCCATTAGCCTTTTAGTTGTAGCTATGCTAAATGCTTCACATGCTGTATTTCATGAAGTTTTCTTAAAAACATACGAATTTCTTCATACTTAAATCCTCTATAGAAATTAAAGAAGATAAGTCTTTCAAGGCAAAATTCTTTGTGCAATTAGTCTGAATCAGTGAACTCAATAACAAATTGGTAAAAATGAAATAAAAGAGTTCTTAATCCACAGTTCTCAAGAGTTCCGAATTGAATCGTTTGAAGCCACTTTGAAATTGATATTTTGTCGGCATATAGTACATTGTCTTGTATATTTCACTTTCGCCGTGGAGTTTTGTTTATTGCCGTGGAGTTTTGCTTATTACTGTGGAGTTTTGTTTATTGCCGTGGAGTTTTGTTTATTGCCGTGGAGTTTTGTTTATTGCCGTGGAGTTTTGTTTATTGCCGTGGAATTTTGTTTATTGCCGTGGAGTTTTGTTTATTGCCGTGGAGTTTTGTTTATTGCCGTGGAGTTTTGTTTATTGCCGTGGAGTTTTGTTAACTGCCGTGGAGTTTTGTTTATTGCCGTGGAGTTTTGTTTATTGCCGTGGAGTTTTGTTTATTGCCGTGGAGTTTTTTTTATTGCCGTGGAGTTTTGTTTATTACCGTGGAGTTTTGTTTATTGCCGTGGAGTTTTGTTTATTGCCGTGGAGTTTTGTTTATTGCCGTGGAGTTTTGTTTATTGCAGTGGAGTTTTGTTCATTGCCGTAGAGTTTTGTTTATTGCCGTGGAGTTTTGTTTATTGCAGTGGAGTTTTGTTTATTGCCGTGGAGTTTTGTTTATTGCAGTGGAGTTTTGTTTATTGCAGTGGAGTTTTGTTTATTGCCGTGGAGTTTTGTTTTTTGCCGTGACCCTTGTGGGCCACTGTAATTTTCAGTACACCCAGACAAAACAGTTTTACAAATCAATATTTTGTTTCACTTTCGAAGTCTGCAATGCCTTCATTTTGATAATTCTTCTTCGTGAATGATACATTCCGGATCGGATCGATATCGACAAATATTTTTGTGGATTATGAATAATGATTAGCAAACCGCTTATTCGGAAAATAGAAACTATGTAGAATAGAAAGAGAACATTCTCCTTCGGTTAAACACGGATAACGGGATAAGATCAAAATCTTGACAAAATATTTTCTATTCGAATATCTCATTGAAGTCATTGCCTTAACATGAGTAGAAAAATAAGATTACATGAGAATGATGACATTGCTATCATAGATAATGTCCTACGATTGTCTGCTTTAATTTCTGTCCAATATTTTACTCAATGATTTTACCCGATGATAAATCCTGGATACAGACACTTGCATCAGATTTGCAAATTTGTCTATAATTTTTAAGGCAAGAAGTACCAGAATGAGAAGTATTTAAGTAACCACGTCTATTATTACGAGAAGGTTGAAACAGGCTTATATGAGATCAAAAAAAGACAAAAAATATATGATTTTAAGTATTAGCAGTCGAGAGGGAATTGAAAACTTTTTCCAAATTCCAATGCAAAAAATGCTGTCAGAAAACGTGCAAAAACTGGAAGGATAGCGCGCAAATAAATTTTTGCAACTTAAAATAGCAAACAATTTGTGGTTAAACTTGAAATCAACTTTTAAACTTTTACATGATCCATTAAAACCTTCAAAATAATACAGTAAATTAAAAGGCATTTGATTAATATTCGTTGATGAAGTGTATTAACGAGATAATAATTGTAGTAAATAAATGAGCTTATTGAAACTCGTTCTTTTGCGGTGAATTAAATTTTCGGAAAACTTTCTTTCCCTGTGCATCAATCATCTTTCATTTAGAGATATTCCCGCACTCAGATATTGACGTGATGCACATCAGTTTTTTGCAACAGTTTATTATTATGCAATAATAATTCAAAAATGTCTCTATCCTCTATCACTGAACGATCATGAATGTAAAATATTTTGTTTGTTTAGTAGTAAGGCATTGCTTAGTTATCTCCCACTGATTTTTGACATTATCATAGTAATTTGTGTATACTGCCACGTAGGAAAATACTGTTCATTATTGGGCAATCCTTTAACTAACAAGATTTTTGTAACGAGATCTGTAAAATATAAAGTTTAATAAAGGTACGTTACAAGTTAAGATATACTTTGATGAATTTCTTAAATTTCTAGTTTCTTTTCTCTCTCTTTAAAATCAATTAAAGAATATAATCACACAACGGTTAATTGTCGTCTGTGATGTCCAAGATGTAATATAAAATACAAATTCTCTTTGACTTATGTTCATCAAATAAAATAAAGTTCATTTTGTCTCTCAATGGTTGTAAATTGTGCTAACTTCATATTGTATTTCTACACTAAATTATTGATGAAATGTCTAGTCTATATTGTTAATGAAATGGCTTCCTTGAATATTCACAGGTAAATTTAAACTTCACGACGGAGATGGTTATTTGTTATGGTACTTAAAGTTTATGGAGAAATAATCATTAATGAAGTTTGATGAAATGAAAAAATGTAAGTTGTCTTAATTTCAATTAATGCGTCGCAAATTTTTGAATTTCTCATAACTTATCGTTTTATCTAAGGGTGAATTAATAAAAATCATCTGCAATAACACACTTGCACCGTCATTTGCTTGTATAATATTATATTATTATGAACTTGGATCAAATTAAATGATCTTGTCCAATAATACATTTCTGAGTTTTACGCTTTCTAAATAAAACATTTTTAAAGTTTTTGTAATAACTCAAGAAATATAGCTCCTTGTCTAGTTCCTTTTAATACGCCTCTTCATGAAGTACACACATACATTGTCCTTATCACGTGCTAGCTAATATTCTTTTATAGTTAAGTGTCTGTCAATCATATGTATCACTATAGGGCAATTTATGTGCATGTATTCCAATTTTCCTCAACAATTAATGATGATCGTTATAGGGCAACGATTTTAAATGACGATGAAAAACGATGGTGTGTTTATGGAATTGCACTCAATTTTTTTTTTGTCCGAGCTGTTCAAACTTATCTTGAAGAAAATATTTCAAAGGAGTATGATAATTTAAAAAAATCTCATAATATTCATGTTCAAACAGCTCACAACTTTCCTTCAAAAATATATCCTCACGATCTACATTATGAAAATATCAACAATAATGAAACAAAGGTTAGGTCGAAATTTAACTTTGAAGTTAAGTCACATGTCGACTTTGGAAAACTTTTCCTTCAAAACCACATGGCAAAGTTTAACTGTTACGACAGCTGTGACGCATCAGCAATGCTTAATTTACTAGAAAGGATACCAATTTTTTCCAACCCGGTCCAGAATGCGGCAAAAATCATTAGAAAAGATAGAAATTGTTGGGCTCACTGCAATCTTAAGGAATGGAACGAAACAGATTTTCATCAGAAAATAGAAAATATGAAACAACTTGTGAAGAAATTGAGTTTAAAAACTGAAGATGAAGTTTTGAATGATATAAATCATTGGAAAGATGAAGGTATATTTTTCATTATTTTATCATTGAGTGGGTTTTATTAACGTGTTGCAGAACGTATGTAACAAAAAATAAGTTATAACGTCTTCATCCAAAACATCCCAGCAATACCGGTAAATCGGTATATCGTATATATAATATATTTTATCAACACCATTTTTATTACATTTTACAGCTTTGAAATTGCGGATAAACGTTCGTACTTTGTGTGAAAAGTTAAAAGATCACATTGAGTACAAAAAATTACCACAAGAGACGCTTGACAAATTTTTGAATTGCATTAAAGAAATAGATCAGTTGAAAAGACGTGTTGACAAAAATGAAGACAAATTTGATCAACTTTATCAAAGCATTATTAATGGTATGTTATTAAAACTACAAAATTTCAAGTGCAGACTTATAAATTTAACACCAAAAAACAGACTATTGAAAAAATGTGAACAATTTGCAAAATGTTGACAATAAACCATTAGTGCTATAAATAGAAATGCATTAAAGAATGAAGACGAGATGTCTTTCAAATAAAACTTACTTTAACATTGTATTTTTATAGATTTTGACAATTGTGACATCTGTGACAGCGATATCGATTTACACTACCAAAAATTCGATCCACAAACAAGAAAATGGTTGATCAACGATTTCTCTGCTTGGTTCGATGAACCTGGAGAATCAAGAGCTTTTGTATTTATGGGAGATGCTGGAGTTGGTAAAACAGTTATGTCAGCTGCTATCGCTCAACGCGCTAAGGATTATGGGAAGTTAGGAGCAGCATTCTTTTGTAGACATTATGATGGTACACGTCGTGATCCAAAATCTCTCCTGGCCAGTGTTGCTTATCAGTTAGGTAAACATTTTCCTGATTATTTGAAATTATTGGGAGGGGTGTCTGAAATAAAAAAACAACGAAACGATACAACACTAGGCGTTCAAGAACTTTTTACTAAGTTTTTTGACGATCCATTATGGAAGCTTGAGACTTTTTCAAAAACTCTCATTGTGATCGATGCTTTAGATGAGGCAGATTATGATTCGAAAAATGAATTTTTTGATGTGGTAACTTTTCGTTTTCCCAAACTTCCACAATGGCTACTTTTCTTCATAACAACACGTCCAGTAGATTTCACACAATTTACTTTGAAAAATTACAACCCAAGTGTAAAGATTTGTTCAGGAGATGCGAGTAATGCTAAGGCTTATGAAAAACATGAACAAGATATTCAAACTTTTTTGGAAAATCAAGTCGACTTCACTGGTAAATCATTTTCTGCAAAAGAAATTACAAAAAATTGTAAAGGAATGTTTTTGTTTGCACATTATCTTGTCAAAACTCTCAAAGATTCATCTGAAACGGATCTTGAAAAATGCCCACAAGATATTGATGGTTACTTTCTTAATAATTTCAAACGTATTTATGAGAAAGTTGGAAAAGATTTCTATAAAAAATTGTTAGGTTGTGCAGTGGTTGCTCCTTCACCTCTTCCTAGTTCGTTTATTCCATTTCTTTTAAAGAAAGAAAATTTAAATCTTGACGAACAAGAAGTAATTGATGCTATTTCACTGTTTTTTTCTTTTGGTGAAGAAAAATTCACCTTTCTTCACAATCTTATACCTGACTGGCTCACTGACAAAAAGCGCGCTTCTCGAAAGTTCGTAATAGATAAAGCAGCAGCACAAGTTTTCTTTAAGGAAATTGTCATCGAAGTTTTGACATCATTCCTGGAGAATGGACTACCATTCAATGACTCAGATGAAAATTCCCTTGTCTGTTACATCCTCGAAATTGAGTTTCGTTATCTATTTCATCTTTCAACTGAAAACTCTGAATTGTCGAGAATATTTTTTCAGTGTTTTACTAACTGTGAGTTTCTCAAACAACGAATACAAAGCAGTACATCAGGTATTTTTACCATTTTAAATGACATTCACTTTGCAATTGGAAATATTGAGTTAAAAGAAGATGAAAAACAAACTGTTAAGGAACTACTGTCGATTCTTGAAAATGACAGATTTTATTTGGTAAATAACCCTCATCTTTTGGACTCCAGTCTTTCAAGGTTATCCTCGAAGGTCAGACAAGCATTTATATCACAGCACTCAAACCAATTTAGATTGTCGAATATTATTTCAGGTGACAACATTCATATTAAGTGTGACGTCTATGCTTATTCAACAGACAGAACTTTGTTGGCAGGAGGAAAAGGAAACGTTCTTTATCTGTTTGAAACATCTTTTTTTCAACAAAAATATGGTCCCTTTCAGTTAAACGTGGACAAGATTCATTGCTTAGCATTCTCTCCTGACGACAAATGGATATTTTTTGGGACATTAAGATTCTGGTTTTCCGTAGATGAGAGAATGACAGTTGAAAAAACTCAATTTCCACAAACTGATACATTTTATAACTGGGCTTCTTTTGTTGAACATGAACATGTAAATTACATAGCGGTAAGAGCGGAAAAAGTTGAATGTCCACCTGATGATGAATGTATATTTTCCGTCACTCCTGAGAAATATCCCACTTCTTTCAAACACCAAATCTGGGATGTCAAAACAGGGGATCATGTGTTCAAGCTTATGTGTGAAAGTGATCTTAATAATCAATGGAAACTAAATTCTTTTTTCTACATATGGCATTTTTTCCCATATACTCTTTATGAAACATTCTTC